TCATAGTATAGTAAGGCATGAAATGTCATAGTATAATAAGGCATAAAAACGTCAAAATTTGGTAAGGCATAAAATGTCATAAAAACGTCATAGTATAGTAAGGCATAAAATGTCATAGTATAGTAAGTCATAAAAATGTCATAGGATAGTAAGGTGTAAAATGTCATAAAAACGTCACAGTATGGTAAGGCATAAAATGTCATAGTATAGTAAGGCATAAAAACGTCAAAATTTGGCAAGGCATAAAATGTCATAAAAACGTCATAGTATAGTAAGGCATAAAATGTCATTGTATAGTAAGGCATAAAAACGTCACAGTTTGGTAAGGCATAAAATGTCATTAAAATGTCATAGTATAGTAAGGCATAAAAATCTCATATTTTGGTAAGGCATAAAAACGTCATAGTATAGCAAGGCATAAAATGTCATAAAAACGTCATAGTATAGTAAGGCATAAAAACGTCATAGTATAGCAAGGCATAAAATGTCATAAAAACGTCATAGTATAGTAAGGCGTAAAATGTCATAAAAACATCATAGTATAGTAAGTCATAAAATGTCATAAAAACATCATAGTATAGTAAGGCATAAAAACGTCAAAATTTGGTAGGGCATAAAATGTCATAAAAACGCCATAGTATAGTAAGGCATAAAATGTCATAGTATAGTAAGTCATAAAATGTCATAAAAACATCATAGTATAGTAAGGCGTAAAATGTCATAAAAACATCATAGTATAGTAAGGCATGAAATGTCATAGTATAATAAGGCATAAAAACGTCAAAATTTGGTAAGGCATAAAATGTCATAAAAACGTCATAGTATAGTAAGGCATAAAATGTCATAGTATAGTAAGTCATAAAAATGTCATAGGATAGTAAGGCGTATAATGTCATAAAAATGTCATAGTATAGTAAGGCGTAAAATGTCATAAAAACGTCACAGTATAGTAAGGCATAAAATGTCATAAAAACGTCACAGTATAGTAAGGCATAAAATGTCATAAAAACGTCACAGTATAGTAAGGCATAAAATGTCATAAAAACGTCACAGTATAGTAAGGCATAAAATGTCATAAAAACGTCACAGTATAGTAAGGCATAAAATGTCATAAAAACGTCACAGTATAGTAAGGCATAAAATGTCATAAAAACGTCACAGTATAGTAAGGCATAAAATGTCATAAAAACGTCACAGTATAGTAAGGCATAAAATGTCATAAAAACGTCACAGTATAGTAAGGCATAAAATGTCATAAAAACGTCACAGTATAGTAAGGCATAAAATGTCATAAAAACGTCACAGTATAGTAAGGCATAAAATGTCATAAAAACGTCACAGTATAGTAAGGCATAAAATGTCATAAAAACGTCACAGTATAGTAAGGCATAAAATGTCATAAAAACGTCACAGTATAGTAAGGCATAAAATGTCATAAAAACGTCACAGTATAGTAAGGCATAAAATGTCATAAAAACGTCACAGTATAGTAAGGCATAAAATGTCATAAAAACGTCACAGTATAGTAAGGCATAAAATGTCATAAAAACGTCACAGTATAGTAAGGCATAAAATGTCATAAAAACGTCACAGTATAGTAAGGCATAAAATGTCATAAAAACGTCACAGTATAGTAAGGCATAAAATGTCATAAAAACGTCACAGTATAGTAAGGCATAAAATGTCATAAAAACGTCACAGTATAGTAAGGCATAAAATGTCATAAAAACGTCACAGTATAGTAAGGCATAAAATGTCATAAAAACGTCACAGTATAGTAAGGCATAAAATGTCATAAAAACGTCACAGTATAGTAAGGCATAAAATGTCATAAAAACGTCACAGTATAGTAAGGCATAAAATGTCATAAAAACGTCACAGTATAGTAAGGCATAAAATGTCATAAAAACGTCACAGTATAGTAAGGCATAAAATGTCATAAAAACGTCACAGTATAGTAAGGCATAAAATGTCATAAAAACGTCACAGTATAGTAAGGCATAAAATGTCATAAAAACGTCACAGTATAGTAAGGCATAAAATGTCATAAAAACGTCACAGTATAGTAAGGCATAAAATGTCATAAAAACGTCACAGTATAGTAAGGCATAAAATGTCATAAAAACGTCACAGTATAGTAAGGCATAAAATGTCATAAAAACGTCACAGTATAGTAAGGCATAAAATGTCATAAAAACGTCACAGTATAGTAAGGCATAAAATGTCATAAAAACGTCACAGTATAGTAAGGCATAAAATGTCATAAAAACGTCACAGTATAGTAAGGCATAAAATGTCATAAAAACGTCACAGTATAGTAAGGCATAAAATGTCATAAAAACGTCACAGTATAGTAAGGCATAAAATGTCATAAAAACGTCACAGTATAGTAAGGCATAAAATGTCATAAAAACGTCACAGTATAGTAAGGCATAAAATGTCATAAAAACGTCACAGTATAGTAAGGCATAAAATGTCATAAAAACGTCACAGTATAGTAAGGCATAAAATGTCATAAAAACGTCACAGTATAGTAAGGCATAAAATGTCATAAAAACGTCACAGTATAGTAAGGCATAAAATGTCATAAAAACGTCACAGTATAGTAAGGCATAAAATGTCATAAAAACGTCACAGTATAGTAAGGCATAAAATGTCATAAAAACGTCACAGTATAGTAAGGCATAAAATGTCATAAAAACGTCACAGTATAGTAAGGCATAAAATGTCATAAAAACGTCACAGTATAGTAAGGCATAAAATGTCATAAAAACGTCACAGTATAGTAAGGCATAAAATGTCATAAAAACGTCACAGTATAGTAAGGCATAAAATGTCATAAAAACGTCACAGTATAGTAAGGCATAAAATGTCATAAAAACGTCACAGTATAGTAAGGCATAAAATGTCATAAAAACGTCACAGTATAGTAAGGCATAAAATGTCATAAAAACGTCACAGTATAGTAAGGCATAAAATGTCATAAAAACGTCACAGTATAGTAAGGCATAAAATGTCATAAAAACGTCACAGTATAGTAAGGCATAAAATGTCATAAAAACGTCACAGTATAGTAAGGCATAAAATGTCATAAAAACGTCACAGTATAGTAAGGCATAAAATGTCATAAAAACGTCACAGTATAGTAAGGCATAAAATGTCATAAAAACGTCACAGTATAGTAAGGCATAAAATGTCATAAAAACGTCACAGTATAGTAAGGCATAAAATGTCATAAAAACGTCACAGTATAGTAAGGCATAAAATGTCATAAAAACGTCACAGTATAGTAAGGCATAAAATGTCATAAAAACGTCACAGTATAGTAAGGCATAAAATGTCATAAAAACGTCACAGTATAGTAAGGCATAAAATGTCATAAAAACGTCACAGTATAGTAAGGCATAAAATGTCATAAAAACGTCACAGTATAGTAAGGCATAAAATGTCATAAAAACGTCACAGTATAGTAAGGCATAAAATGTCATAAAAACGTCACAGTATAGTAAGGCATAAAATGTCATAAAAACGTCACAGTATAGTAAGGCATAAAATGTCATAAAAACGTCATAGTATAGTAAGGCATAAAATGTCATAGTATAGTAAGGCATAAAAACCTCATAGTATAGTAAGGCATAAAAACGCCATAGTTTGGTAAGGCATAAAATGTCATAAAACGTCATAGTAGAGTAAGGCATAAAATGTCATAGTATAGTACGGCATAAAAGCGTCATAGTTTGGTAAGGCATAAAATGTCATAAAAACGTCATAGTATAGTAAGGCATAAAACGTCATAAAAATGTCATAGTATAGTAAGGCGTAAAATGTCATAAAATCGTCATAGTGTAGTAAGGCATAAAACTTCATAAAATGTTATAGTATAGTAAGGCGTAAAATGTCATAAAAACCTCATAGTATAGTAAGGCATAAAACGTCATAAAAACCTCATAGTATAGTAAGGCATAAAATGTCATAGTATAGTAAGGCATAAAAACCTCATAGTTTGGTAAGGCGTAAAATGTCATAAAAACGTCATAGTATATAGTAAGGCGTAAAATGTCATAAAAACGTCATAGTATAGCAAGGCATAAAATGTCATAAAAATGTCATAGTATAGTAAGGCATAAAAACCTCATAGTATAGAAAGGCATAAAATGTCATAAAAACGTCATAGTATAGTGAGGCATAAAATGTCATAGTATAGTAAGGCATAAAATGTCATAAAAATGCCATAGTAAAGTAAGGCGTCAAACGTCAAACCATAGTAAGGTATAAAAACGTCATAAAAATGTCAAAGGATAGTAAGGCATAAAAACGTCAAAAAGAATCATAGTATAGTAAGGCATAAAACATCATGTATGTTTGAAAGTTGTACATGTTAGGAAGATATTCACAAATGCTTTTCATTTATTTGTAAATGAATTGAATGTATTCATTAGCGCAAATTGATTGTGTATTTGCAAATCCATTTTATATTTGCAAGATATTTTTGGGAAAAACTAAAATTATTTTTTTCATTTGTGGAAGGTGTTTTTTATTTACAGATTACACATTTACGCACAGATTGTCAGTCTGTTCATACAAATAATACTGAAACAAATCTACCTGCACAGTGGTGTTTTATACCTGATATAAGCAGAACTGGCTCCACCCAAAAACAGTGTAGGTCCCTCATAGCGGGTGTTAAAGCTGGGGAAACTCATGATGTCATCGAGGTGTGCTGAGATGGCCTCCAGGTTGACCCTCCAAGCATAGTGTCCGTTCTGCTCCACCAGGTTAGTGAGCAGGAACTGACGCACAGAGTGCTCCTGACGGAGGGAAGGACAGTTTATGATGTTTCAGGTTCAGAGTTTGACTTTAAAACAGCTATAATCAATGTTTTTATACTTGAAATGGTTCACATGACTTCTTGCATGTGAAGTGGGTTGCTTGTTGTGAGTAACCCACAGAGAATTGACATCTGATTTTACACCAGGTTTCACAACTTTCAGCTCATTGCTTTGGTTTTATGGCCTGAAAATGTAATGATTTGGTTCACTCTCACTGTCCTCTGCTATAGCAGGCAGCTGTTTTCAGTGATCAAATAGCAAACAGGCACAGTCAGTGACTAGCTGGTACACAAAATTGAACAGATATTTCCCTCAGGAGTTGGTGGAGACCAAAAACAGAGCTAAAAGTGAGCTAATATTTACATTCGTCAGTGGAACAAGAACATGACTCCATGGATTTGGAGGATGTGTAAATCAGCAACTGTTTGCCATATCGACTTTACTAAGAAATAATTTGTCAGTGTTATGTTCGCAGATTATTTCTGCTGCCCTCAAGTGGCCAAAAAAAGAACTAGAGCTACTTGTCAAGAAAGATTAATTGCACACCTGAAAAACAAACATGCTTCTGTGAAAAAAAGAAACTTGCGTGCCAGGTTTAATTTATTGAAGAACAGCTGTCACATCCCGTTTCAAACACTGAATAGTGTGCAATAAAAAAAAAAAACAGTCCTGACCTTGACCAAACTCCGCAGCTGATCCTCAGCCATCCGCCTGGCGGTGGAACGTGGAATGTCACTGGAGATCTTCACTTCCTGCATGGCCTGGATGTAATAACGGAAGTTGGTGCGTGTGGTGGTCTGGGCTGGACTGATGTCCACTACCACCAATCTCTCCACTAAACCAGGCTACAGAGACAGATAGATTGGGGTAAACAGGTAGGAAAAGAGAGAAACAAGATGATGTCATGTGGGGAAAACCAATGGCAAAATGGAAACAGGAGAGCTGGGTGTAGCATGAAGACCAGAGGAGGATTATTAAGTTCAGAGTGGATGGAAATGTACAGCGAGAAAGGTGAGGTGACATCCAGCGAGGGGACTGTAGCGTCATGATAAATTTATGGTGACATTTCTCAGCTGCTAACCTGCGACAGAGCAGTTGTCATGGCTGTTTTCCCTCCCATGCTGTGGCCGATGAGGACGCACTTCTCGATGCGCAGCTGAGCGAGGAGGTGTTTCAAATCACCGGCCATCGCTTCATAGGTCAGCACCGAGCTGTGAGGGCTGTTGCCATGGTTACGGGCATCTACAGTCAGCACCTAACTGGTCAAAGGACAGTTAGGACACTTGGAATGGGGGGTAAAAGGGCAACAGAGCAGAAACAAAAAAACTTTTATGTCAGCTATATCCTTTTTTCTGGCTGCAACTCAGGAAAGTGACAGCATAAACAAAGGTTGTATTGTGAACAAGAGGTGATGAGTTTCTTCAAGTAGGCCAAAGAGCCGATTATCTATTATCTTTATTACAACAGTAGAGTGCAGAGGATTTGTATCAAATAACTGGCAACACACTGGTTGATTGTACGTTCCCATGCCTGCTTTTGTAAGAGGGCCAGTGTCAGGCTGCTTAGAACCAACTCTAACACACAAAGACGAAGTGTTTTTTGTTGTAACAACAGACAGAGGTGATGTCTTCATCACTGCATTACCTTTCGGCCTGTGCGCTGCACCAAGGACTTCGCTATTGAGTGGAAGTTAGATTTGCTGCCAAAAAGGCCATGAAGAAACACCAGGGGAGTGCTCTCTCCTTTCCCATCGAAGACATCATAGGTCAAACTGACTGGGCTGTGGAGAAAAAAGAAAAACATCCATACTGATTAGTTTGAATCTCCCCGCTTGCGCTTGTGGTGAGAATTATGTCACTACTTCAGACAGCAAAAGTGATAAATCTCAGTCAGACAGGCAAACTGATGATAATTTCAGGGAGTGACAACGATGATTGAATTGCTTCAGCTCTCAGTGAAAAAAATTATCTAAGGAGAAGAGGGCAGTGGCAGCATTAGTCAGTGATTTGTGATATGTTTGGTTGGAAATGCTTTGCTTCCACCTGCTGGTTTAACATTAGAGAACCATACAGGAAAAAATGTGTTGTTTTTTTTTAAGTTAAAGTAATATTTTATAACAATAACAATTCACTTGTTTAAGAAGCTGGAAAGAGAGAATATTTGGCACATTTGCTTGATAAGTGACTTAAAAGTTCAATCTGCTGTCAAATAATTAATTGTCTGATCAACAGTCCACAACCCAAAGACATTCAATTTATTGTGATCTATGAAAAGAAGCAAATCCTCTAAATTAGGAAGCTGACACCAGAAAATATGTCAATTTTGCTTGAAAAATAACAAACAATTAAATCATTTATCAAAATAATTGTCGCTTTATTTTCTGTTGAGCAACTCATCTCCGTCTCTGCCTACATTATTTGATTAATCACAAATTAGAAATTAGAAATTAGAAATTTGCACCACTGAGATGGAATATCAACTATGACAGGTTCTCCATTCTCCATCTTGTGGCCCTGGCCTAGTAGAGGGAAACCATCGAAATCCACTTTTAAGACCCTAATTGTTATATTCATAGGTTATATTGAGCTCATCTGTTGTTAAGTTTTTTGTCTGTATGTCAAGTAATAAAACACAGAGAAATCTTAAGACAAGGTCATATTATTCAATCATAGAAGAACTGTACCTTTACCTTCATTAACAGCAGATTTGACAAATCAATTATCAATTATCTATAATAATCAATTGATTGCTCAGCATATTAAATGTCAGATAATATGAATGAATGAAATACGACCATCACTATTCCCTGAAGCCCAAGTGAAAATATTCAAGTGACTTAGTCTTGACTGACCAACCATCAAAAACCCACAAATTTTTGGTTTACAATCATAGAAAAGGGGGACATTGGCAAATTTTCACATTCGAGAAGCTGGTACCAGTGAATTTTTGGCATTTTTGCTTAATAAAATGGCTTAACCTTGACAAATTATACATTGTTTTGATCCCTGTAAAGCATTTTAGCATCCCAATATCACTGCAACAGCTGCTCACGATTGGTTCAGACTTGTGGGTATGGTTCTAGTGTTTTCTACACTACATGTAATACTTACTTATTTTGAGCACATTATTGACTGATGATTTTGATGAACAAAATTATTGTCCTGTCTACCAGTATACTGTCTGATCAGCTCATCAGTTCAATACCAGTTGGTTGGTTTCTGGGTATCTGAAGAAATAGTGAACTGTCATGTGTAATGGTGCTAAATAGGGGCCCAACAACAATTTTTTGCCTGTGGCCGACTATGTGGTTAATCCGGCCATGATTTATTAATATTCTGATACCTTAGCATACATGTAACATAGCATATCATAAACCATCTATACAAAGCTATGATCGCTTAATTTATCTGCATAAACCAAGACAGAGCCCATAACGCTCTATGAAATCCTCTTTGTAACAACTGCAGGTTGACCGTCTTGCTAACCAGGCGTCTGAATGTCATTTATGGAAACTCTGTAAAGTTAACGGTTAATACAGATGCAAAGTCATGATACCGTGACAAATTCCCAACGGTTAAATAATAGGCGGCATTAAAAGAGAAACACTTGGCTGTCACTTAAACCTTGCGCCGCCCACTACGCTACAGCTCAGGCAGACAGAGGGCATCAGTTAGCCGGGAAGCTAGCAGGGATACCTGGATGAGCTGGCGGTCCGGACCGTAGGAGCAACCCCGCAGACATGCTGCTGTCCGGGGGATAAACGACACGATTGCCGGCCGCCCAGCAGTCCTCTCTGGATCAGACGACACAAAGCACTCATGGCAGCATATGCTCCGTTACCGGGCGGTCGACAAACAGCATGTGCGTTTAAAAACGGCAACAGTGACAGCGGAGACTCGGTGAGTGTACATGCACAGCGTCCCGGAGGTCGAGATTGAACTAGAGGAAGCTTCAAGCTGTCAACAGCTGATGGTGACGATGCGTCATGACGTAGGACGCACAAGACTAGATTGTGTTCTTTTCCCTGAAGTCGGTTTTTCAGGCTCAGTAAAATGACCTTCTAATGAGCACCACTGACTGCTAGTAAATATCTAGACACAATTGTAACCAAGAAGCACATGAAAATAAAACATAGTCATCTTTACTGTGATTTTCAGTGGTGGAAGAAATAGTCAGACCTTTTTGTAGAACTACAAGTACCAGCCTTGCATTCAAAATGTCAGTAAGATTACACAGTCTTAACCTATCATAATATATCACAATTGGTTGACAATATCTTGTATCATTATTTGAATCAGCAAATTAGCAAGTAAATAAAGTCATAAGATAATTGTAGTGGAGAAAAAAAGTATATTTCCCTCTGAACTGTGGAGTAAAAGTTCAAAAGTAAAAAGTGGAAATAATCAACTAAAGTGCAAGTAAAACTGCACTTAAATACAGTACAATAAATCTTCATAGTAAATCTCCAACGCTGGTGATTTAGTATGAATATTTTGTTTGATCCTACAGAGCTGGCTGTCATCAAGTGGTTGCAAATACGAGTACGCCTAATCGATTTTTAGGTGTGTGTAGGCTGTATTATGATTAAGCCCCCAGTTGACAGTAACAATGAGCTGAATTTACGGTCATTAAGTCCACTCTTCTTTGCTTGAGTTGTATCTATTTATTAAAAAGGACTCTATTGTGCCTTTTTTGTGTAAATTTTTCTTGATTTCACGTAACCGTGAGGATTGAAATCTTTTTTGTTTCGCATTAATGTACTGTTGAACCACAAGGTGGCGACATAGTGTTACAATATGGGCTACACCTACTCACCACCAACAAAAGTATTTATTTACAGCACTGCATAGAGGTGCTCCCTGTGAGAACAGCTCTCAGTAAATGAATTGGTCATTCATTACTTTGTAGGGACATTTGTAAAAGACACGAGTCTGTAGTTCAGTCAAACCTGTGATTGTTCTGATTTGTGGATGTTTCCTAAAACACTGTGTTATGTTGGGGTCTGCTGCTGCACTTTCTATTGTTTATGTCAATTTACAGTTTAAATTATAGTTCACAAATGTGAATTGAATTTTATTGATTTATTTATGTATTATTATGTAAATTTTTATTATGTTGTATTTTAAAACTTTTCAGTACTCCTTCTGTCATAGTGCTTTAAAGTGCTTTAGTCTAACAGTGTTATGCCTTTTCAAGTGTTCTCTGACAAGTAGAGACACCGGTCAATGTCAAGTAAAATTGCTCAAGTAACTTTTATTAGCATGGATTGGTTTATTCTATTTATTCTACTCACATTCACATACATCTACAGTACTCACCATGCAGTACCATCAGGGAGGCGTCAGATACACACAACAAGGACAAGGAATCCTGCAACAAACGGTCTGGCCCCCACAGATCCCTGATCTCAACACCATGGAGTCAGTCTGGAATTAAATGAAGAGGCCGAAGACATTGAGACAGATGAAATCCACAGAGGAACTGCGGCAAGTTCTCCAAGATGCTTGGAACAACCTATCTGTCAAGTACCTTGAAAAACTGTGCACAAGTGTACCGAGGAGAACTGGTGCTGTTTTAAAGCGGTGTTGTTGCTGGTGCTTGTATTGATTTAGGGTTTTTTTTGTTTACTGCACTTTGTATAAAGTTAATTGATTGATAAAAACTATTCATGGAATTATTTTTGAAAGCATCACATTAATTTGTATTACATTCACATTACCTTTAGTGGCTAAAACTTTAGTACAGTACTGTATGACTCAATATTTATAACTTCAGTCACTCTTGAGTCTCACAGGCAGAGCAGTCCCAGGAGCTTAGCAAGGGAAACAACTACAAAGAAATTTATTTACAGGTGCTCTTCATCCTGCACTATATACACATTGGTATACTGTTGTCCTGCTTCAACCCTCTCTTCATCCTCTTTTGCTTTCTCACCATCACTTTGTTTTGGTTTGGGATCAGTGTGGTAGATTTATTTTATTTTGCTCTCATGTCTGTTGTTCCTGTCATATACAGGAACAGAAAAACAAACCCTCAGCCTATGGGCTTGGACAGCCTGGCCTCCCTTGCTGCGTCTCCAAACATTCATTGCTATGGGCGACGTGTCTGCTGGGATAAAGCATGCTGTGAGCTGTCACCATAGTGATGGCATGAAACAGAGGCCCAGGGGAGCACATGGTACAGACTCAACTGAAAGAAGAAGAGGGAACTGGCAGATGAGGGTGCATTTTTTATTCTACTGAACATTGTGCCACCACTCCAGTTTTCCTTGAACCGAATATAAAAAACTGCCAGCACCATGTTTCTGACACCAATTTACTTTTTTAACAATATTCTTTTTTCCCCCTTTATATATAAGTTATTTCAAGTGATACTGTGTTTGCAACAAGTTGGAAAATTACATCACAATAGCAGATTTAGTCACACAATTAAAAATATCATGGTTAAATGCATACAGTATATCCATCTATTTAAAACTACAATATATCCATTTATAACAAAAGGGAGGAAGGAGGACAACTGGAAAAATAATAACATTCGATTCAATAAATAATAAATAGTCAGTGGCAGTTTCAAATTTGAGGTCGTTCTTCCATTGAAGATTTTATTGACTTTGCATCCCTGCCCCCCAGAACTTAGTACTGTGTAATGAAGCTGGGTGTTTAGACAGTGAAATACTTCTTCATGCTGCACAGAGCAAAGCAAATAAAATCTTTGTTCTAATCCATCTCTTTTCAAAGTGCACATGCACAATTGTGTTTACTTCATCTATTGTCCCTGTCCAGATGTTAAAAATGAATCATCAGTGCATCAATGTGCATATACTGTATACACAACATGGTATAGTACACACTCACCACTAAATAATGCTACAGTATAACACATACTGTACTGTTTTAGCAACGATCCAAACTGAGTAATCACAAATGAAGAAAAAACATGCAACGCAATGATAGGGGGATGATATGAGGGATCGTTAAATGTTCAGAGGTACAACTCTCGGTGTATCCTTATTTAGTGATAACACTGCAGCGCAGCTCACACACCCTTTAACAATATATAATGACGATTACACTTTAAAAAACAATGATCTAGACTATAAAACCTTAAAATTTCAGCTGAAGAAACTGTGTTCACTAAACTGTCACATAAACCAAAATGTAATTTGCCTACAGTGAAAGATTGGCTGCTGTCTGAATAATAATCATATTTCAGGGTGGTCTGTTGTCATTCCAGCCTTGTTATTCTGTAATGTGTTATTTGTAGACACTACCCTGTAATGTGCTCAGTCATGATGTGTTGCCTCCACTAACAGAAACATTGAAAATTCTTCAGACTAAAGTGAAAACCAGAAGCTGAGAAATGAAGAATGAAATATAATACCAATACTCATTAAATTTTTTCTATTAACAAAATGAGGAAATGTTGTTACTTAGTGTAGGTGGCAGGTCGCACAAATGTTGACACTGAACATCAGTAAAATGTTCACTGACATTTTGATTGTTCCACTTAAATGAATTAAACTTCCTCAACTTCTGCTTCACCGGTGCACTGTGACAGTTTCAGTGTCCGAGTCACCCTTTATAAGCCTTTGTGCACCATACATCATTTTGATTCAGATAAGGGGCTTCAGAAGGGCCCTGATGATAATTCATGGAGAGAAATGTTTAGAGACGTATAATAAAAGCCAGACTCCATTGTACTTTATGATGCACATGTGCAGAATATTGATATCCTGCTCTTCACAAATAATGTCTCTCACAACATGAAGTTGATCCTTACTGGTTCAACAAGCAAACTTTTCCACCTTTATAAGACAAACTTTTACTTTTACCTTTATATTGTACCTTTTCTGTAGTCATATTCACATATTCTCTGCACTGTGTCTTTTACTATGTACATAAAGGAAAAAAAGTCAGGCACTTTCCTGGAAATCTCTTTCTCAGACATGATTTGTTGTGCCTAAACAGACGAGTCAGACAGTATTTATTTATCCGCTTATGACATAAATAGTGATACCAAATATTTCCCCTCTAATTAGTTGCTATTTTAGTCTTTCACAACAGTTCAAATTTATCTGTATTTACAGATATAAATGATTTGACGACTCATTTATTCAGAGTTCCTTGATAAGAGCTGCAGTTATCAGAGTCACTGCTGAGAGGAGAGGAATGTTCTCCTCTCAGGGAAAACAGTGTCAGAAGTCAGAAAACAGAAGTCGGTGCACAAGAACCACTCCCTGACAGAAATCAGTTCAAACTGCAGATATACTACAGCCCCAGCTGTCAACATCTACCATCACATCGCTGACGTCTCGTTTATCTAGACCACTCACAACAGACTGCTGTTATCTGTGGAGGCTCAGGTCATGTTCATGTTTTTGGCTCTGGTGAGGCTACAGCATGAGCCAACACCAGGGCTGCCTGTATCTGCATGTTAGAATGGAAGATTCAGAGTTTATTTATAATATAGGCACATACACAAAATAAATATAGGCATGGAGATATAGAAAGTATTTCTATCCCGAAAGCTACATAAAATGTTAGAGATAAAATAATGAATCCTGCTATGTATTTGTAGTTTTGGGATTGAGATTTTTTGAATTTCAGTCTGAGCGAACACATCATGGAAAATCTGACTCTGATGCTCCAAAAAAACCCCACAATAAACCCACAAAAACAAAACGTGTGTTTTACTGTCTCTCTGCTCAGTTATCTCATATCTTGCACCTGGTGTGGTAGGACTGCTGTCTAATCATGTCTCTTCTGATATAATAATGTCTAAAACATATTTATTGACACATGCATGCTGAGGTGTTTGCAACAGATAGTTTATCTGCTTTACACAACTTTACAGTCCATCATTCAGTGAGGTTAAAAAAAAACAGTGATAACCTGGGATCATACTTTCTAGTGTCTCTATCAGGAGCCCATTGGACTTTGCTGTTTGGTCATCATCTCATTTGTGAGAAATCTGCTACCTGTCAAATTCACGTGTTCCAGCTGGAAAGAGAAGCTGACATTCAGATGTGCTATCTTAACCCCTGTACTGGCTTGTCATAAATGTTTGACCTTTTCTTTTTGTTTTTGTTTTTTTAACTCTAGTTCTCACTTCGTCTACTTCACAATATTGAACGTCAGCTGTACACAGGCGAGCAGCCCTGTCTCTTACAAATTACAACTTTATTTTTGACAATTTTTGCTCACTCAACATTGTCGTAAAATGAGGGCAACCTCAACAAAATTCTTGAGTATAAATAAACATTTGAATGAATGAATGAACATTTATATGCAACTGGGTAATTATAAGTGCAACTGGATTAAGTTTTCTATTAAGGTAATGCTGATGTGTTGTTAATTTACAGATTTGGCAAATTGCTCATATGTTGGTACTGAACTATCATTAAAATGTTCATGTTTTCTGCCAAGGAATCCCATCTTGCAGTACAATATCTGCTTGTGGTGGCAATGTGTCAACGTGTAACCAAAAACACAATCATTCAACGTTCTTTCTGTAACTTTCTGAAACTAAGGATCCAACATTCACACCCACCTCATGCTGTGATTGGCCAGCTGTGCAGAGGTGAGAAAGGAGCCAGGGTTTGAAAAACATACCGCATCTCAAAATGTGCCTTCCTTTTAGATTCAAGAATTTAGCTGAATGAAACAGATTGATGCTGCCATACAAATACAACTGCACCTATTTGTTCTTTTTAATCTGTTGAAAATGTCCATTAAGTAAAGTTTTACACCATAATTACGCAACAAGATGACGTAATTAAAAGAGTGCCAGTCAAACCTCAAATGAACCAAACATGATGTGGAAAACATGATGGAAATATGGCTTTAATGTTTGTTTCATGTATCTCTTAGTGGAGCAGAAGACTCAGTGGACATACAGTATAAGTTACAGGCTTTATGTACATCATGATTTATTTGCTAAATCTTTTTTCATCCCACTTTGTCACAATTTGCTGGTCTTAGGCTTCTGAAGCTGGACCACAGATGGAAACACATGCGTCTCTGTCTCCTCTGCAATTCATCTCTCCCTGTGTGACTGTGTCAGCGCCTTTATAGAAATTCTTTCTCAGTGATTCTGACAACCGACAGCAACACTTGAGATCCACACTTGCCAGTGTTTCGTCATGAAAAGGTGACAATTTCCTGAAACATGGTGTCTTTTCCTCTCTCACACAGACATTCACATCCTATCAGAGGAAACTATAATACCTCCGCAACTGAACAGCAGTTAGATGATTTATTCACAATTAGTGTCTTCTGATACCAAAAATATTATTGTCACACATTGAATTGGTCAAATTCCACTCACTGAGCCACCTTGATCATGGTCCTTTGAGATTACAGTGGTATGGAAAGGTGTGTGTGTGTGTGTGTGTTTGAGTGAGTGATTGTGACTGATTGGTAAAACCTGGTGACAGAGAACTGCTCAGTGAGCACTGAGTGTAGCAGGTGCGTTTCAAGGCTGATAAAGTACCTTTGGTGCTATTTCCAACAGATAAGGCTGTAAAATGTAGTGACCTAGTGGTTCAAAACAAGTGTTGACTGGACTGTTAACCATCAGATTCTTCTCCATCAAAAAACTTTTTAAATCGTACCTTCACATTGACTGTTTCTGTGGCTTTTTTCTTGCTTCCTGGAGAGAATTGGAGAGAGATGACAGGGTTTGCATTTCTATTTTCTCTGTTTGAAACTCTCTATCAATAAACTACATAATTTTTATAATCACAGGTTGTGGATTGGGAAGGTGTTTCGCTGCCTGTGACACTACACTAGAAGGACAGAACAGTGGAAACTTTTTTTCATTGTAGATTATGTGCAAACTCTCTGACAGGCGACTGTTTATCACCCATCTCCCCATATGTTCATGGTCGTTCTCTCTCTCTGTTTATCACTGACACCTGACACTGACCTACAGTGATGTGTGTGATATGTTTAAATTCTGTGTTTATTTCTTAGTTTAATCTGACAATTTTTTAAATTGACTAATCTTATCAGCTCAACTAGTTAGCCTGAAGTTTTTATTTCATGGAAGCTGTGGCAATTTAGCTGTCAATGTGTGACATGATCAGAAAAAAAGTTGGGAGTGGTCATAAAACTGTTTGTAGGATGACCAGACCGATAAAATATAAAGCTTTCTTGCCATCTAACACAACGTTTTTGGGCGATTTGGTGGTTTCATCAAGGGGGCACAGGTAAGCTATCATTAGCTAGCTACACAGCAATGCAAAGTATTTTTTTTTTTACTGCGTTTGCGTTTGAAGACTCACTGCAGCACAGCGGCGAGACTAGGCTGCCCCAGTCCGAAGACTCGCTGGAATGGGTGGATCCTTCGTGGGCCAACCTATCCCAAGATTCATTGCGCGCCGGTAATGAAAATAATATGGCAGTAAATAACGCAGACAGAGAGCCTGAGGATTATACTTTTAAATGAAAGTGTGGGGTTTCAGCTCAGTTGAACAGCTTACGGTACAACTGTTAAAAAAACTGTTTGTTTTTTTTTGTGAAAAAGAAAAAAGTTACGTGTTGTCAAGTTGCTAGGCGACAGGACCCGCACTTTGCGACACTAAGGTAAGGGCAGGTACAGTTGGTGATGCAAAGCGAAAATCCTCAGTAGGCCAGACCGGTTCATTTCGGTTCGTCTTCGTCGTCAACGACAGCAACAATGGCCACACCTTCGGTGACCGCGTCCCCCTGAATTGTGACACAGCAATGGTCTACCTGTACCATGTTCTCGTAAATGTCAACTCACCACCCATCAGCATGAAAGGATGTTTACCTCTTCACCGTAAAAAAAAAAAATCTGCATAAATCCATTTTTCCTCACAGTGACCGACTGAGCTAATGTTTGGTATAAAAATAGAATAAAAATTGAAATGGGCAGATTTACCTTTATACACAGAGAAATAACAGAGGAACCCAATACAATAGTGTGTTTACAACACAACTAATATTGTAAAGCCGAGTTCTTATTGTGGCTGTCAACATGCCACTTTACATATACACATACGGTATGTGTTTGTGTAAATGATGAAGTGTGTGTGTTATATGATTAAGTTTAACCGAGTGTGTGTGTGTGTGTGTGTGTGTGTGTGTGTGTGTGTGTGTGTGTGTGCGCGTGTTCATGCATTAATCGTCATGTGTATATATAGTGTGTAAGTTTAAAAGACGACATTAGAGTATGGCTGAAACTCAGCACTGACACATAATCGAGGCACTGTGTTTAAAACACTGAACATATTTTTTCAGTCTGGTCACTTCTCCATAATGTAGCCAATAGTCAAACATTTTTTCATTTTCATGTATACAGCATCATAACAAAGCCTACTGTACCTGCCACACCTGAGCATTATGGATGGCTGTGGCTAAACTGATTAATATAAGTCAGCTGTATTCCCGGCTTAACAGAGAAACCAAACTTAACAAAGAGACCAAACTCTGAAAGCCCAGCCCAACTTTCAGCTTTTTAAGCTGTTTGATTTGGATTTATCCTTGTATGTTTTAGCAGCACATGTGTTGTGTTGTGCCTCTTGTTGGTTAAAAAGTCCTTCTTGAGTAACAAAACAAAAAACATCATTCTTGCCAGACTTTTATTGAAATCTAATATTTGGAATTCAGGCACTACTATAAAACATTTAATTGCTTCTGGAACAGTGAGTAAAACCAAAGTAAAAAAAAAAAAAAGAAACAAATTTGTTTTTAAAAGAGATGGAGATTGATTAGTGAAATATTTATTCTAGCCACACAAAACACATCCTGTTGATCTGGAAACACACATCCTCCAACAGCTGTAGTCATGTTCCCGAAGGGGGTCACACACACGCACACACACACACACACACACACACACACACACACACACACACACATACACAATGTCTTTGTTTGACAGGACTGTACAGGTAGTTGCATCAAATTTAAAATAATAGAAAAAGATATCAAAATGTTTGAAAATTAAGACACAACAATACAAGTCTATTTGAAACACAGACACACAGTGGAATAATATGGTGTCAAAATACATTAAAAATACATTTTATCACAGAAATGTAAAATAAACACACACATATGGACACACATGTGAATGTCAGGCCTTATGTCCCAACTGAAACAGTCTCTGCGTCCTGAAACAGTGAAACTGTGAGGAGGAAGATAAAGCTGTTACCTTGGGCCATATCACGGATCCATCTTTAGTTTCAGTCTAAGCAGAAACTCACCTAAGCAAATATTACATGCAAAACACACACACACACACACACACACACAGCCATGCACGTGCACGCTCACGCTCTGAACAATCACACAACCAAATCCATGTAAAATGAGAGCCGCCTCTTCCTTGTCATTGTCAGTGAAGTGACAAACCACGTTTTAACAGGGAGTTTCAGTGAAACACGACACCGGCCGACTAACGACCGAGCCACACACACACACAATCACACACACACACACACACACACACACACACACACACACACACACACACACACACACACACACACACACACACACACACACGCAAGGAGCAAAGGAGCAGGAGGTTTTCAAATTCACATAATGCCACATAGGTTTAAGAAGAAATACAACATGTGCTCCAAGAGACACAGTTTAACATTTCAAAAGTTTGAAATTGAGGCTTTACAGGCTCTCATGTTCATACACTTAAAACTAGTCACCTAAAGACAGACCGGCTGGATTATAGCAGAGCAATATGTGAATATACATGTCAACCAAAAGCAAAGCAGACAGATCAATATCTATACATACATCTTCATGTCGGAGTCTTTTCATGGGATTCACCCTGTGGTTTCAGACAGCAAAAACAACACACATTCATACACACATATTCAACATTTTCATTGTATCCAACTTTCCAATTCAGTCTGTCACACACTTCAGGCCTGTTCAAACATAGTCTTTCCTGTCGTACCCTCCGCCTGCGCTGGTGCTGCGTGGGGCGGAGTACGCCATCCGGGGCGGCTTGTACTTCTTCTCTTTTGGCGGGCAGCTGCTGCACAACATCGCCCCACCAATCAGGAGCAGGGCAGCCGCTCCCCAGCCGATGTAGAGGGATGCACCCAGCTCCCTCCTCTGTGCGTTGGTGAGGAGGGGGTTGTAGAAATCCCGAATGATGACGCTAGCGGTCCAGGAGACGGGGATGAGGACCAAAAGGCCGCCAAGGATGAAGAAAATCCCGGCGATGATCATCACTTTGGCCTTGGACGGCTCGTCTTCAATGCAGTTCGTGCACTTGGCGCCGACGATGGAGATCATGACCCCGAGCACCCCGAGAATGATGGCGATGATCATCATCGCTCTGGAGGCTTGCAGCTCCTGAGGCAAGGCCAGCAACGAGTCGTAGACCTTGCATTGCATCTGGCCCGTGCTCTGGGTGACACAGTTCATCCACAAACCCTCCCAGATGGTCTGAGCAGTGATGATGTTGGCTCCGATGAAGGCCGTCACCTTCCACATCGGCAGGGCACATGTCACTATTGCAATGATAAATCCAACGACCCCCAGGGCAATGCCCACGATCTCCATGCCCATCGACATGCTGGCTCTTAGTCTGATGACAGAACAGAACTTGATTGTCCAACAAAACAAAGCCCCTCAGATCACAGTGAAGAGTCTCCTGCTCTGTTGTTCAGTTGTGAGCACCTGTAAGAGGGTGTGATGTAGAGATGCTGCCACGGAAACAAGAGATCCTTTATACCTCAGGGGAGCAAGGAGGAGTCCTATGGTGATGATGTCAGCAGGAGGCCGCCTTTACACACACACACACACACCTACATGCACATACACACACACACACACACACACAAACCCAAAAAAACACCTGTGCATATACAGTGGAGGAGGGGAGCTGGAGGCAGGAAGGGTGAGGAGGGATGGAGTGTGGGTGTGTCTTTGCGTGTGTGTGTGTGTGTGTGTGTGTGTGTATGTGTGGTGGGTGGGGGTTGGGAAGATGGCTGCCTCTTGACTTTCAAGAAAAATCAACACTTCACTTCACTTCACCTGTTTTCTCCCAGGAATTGTGTCATGCCTGATGTGGTGTAAAGTAAACAAGGCCGTTATACGAGGTCTGATCAGGTAAATCACTGATCCTCAGTGGAGAGGGAAGGAGAAGTTCTCTTTTACATAAACTGAGGAAAAACTTAGTGCAGTAGTTCACCACAGTGGAGGACAGAGAGGAAGCTTCTGCCTCTGGCTACTTAGTGAGCTTTGTTGTGAGTAAGTGTAGACACACACACACACACACACACACACACACACACACACACACACACACACACACAAACACACTGGAGCAAACACAGACTCTGATACTATTGATCTTTCGTTACTTCCTGGTTCCAGTTGTGAGGGTTTCTTAAACCTTCGGGATTTGGTGTTGGGACAACAATCCCACAACTCTGCTGGAAACCGGAAAAACTGCACCCAGAGTAAATATGAGCAGAGAGAAAACATAATAGGTCGGTTCTCAGACACCTTTAGCATACAGACAGAGTGATCTTCTCAGTATCGGTTAAACTCTCTACTCTGACCAAACAGTTCCTGGTTGACTGTTCCTTATAAAACAAGGATAGAAGATATGAATAAATAAACCATGAATAAAGAAAGAAAGAAAGAAACCTTTATTAAGTTCATTTGGATTTGTCATTTGGAAAAAAGTCAAAATAAATCTATTAAAGCTATACTTGTAATTTACTGTAAATGGGTTAAATTTGAATTAAGAAACTAGACCATCATTTTCTAATAATACCCCAAGAAACATTGCGGAAAATATGTATGCAATTCTTTACAAACTGTAAAAGAAGCTCCATATAAACCAAAGTGAATATTCAATCATTATCCATTTTGGATTGGCATTTTAGTTCTGCATATATGTTCAATTATTTTCTTGCCGGTAGACTTAATTTCACATTTTTGCATTTGCTATGCAGAGATGACTCTTTAGGTTGTGCAGCAATTGATATGAATAAAAGGACAGGTTCCCATTCTTGCTGTAATCATTCTTCCTGTTTATACTGATCATTAAAAAGATCCCTTCCTAATGTGCTTGCAGTGTAAGTCCACAGTCCCATCCTCGTTCTGTGCAAAAATGTATTCCAAGGTTTATCTGTCTGCAGCCATAGAAGTCCCACAAATAAAAAAAAAAGGTATATTCCAAAGTTATTGTCTTTTTAGAACCAAAATACACCTAATTGCTAATTTTGTCAGTATCAAGAAGACTCCACAACCGGTAACATGTTGTATTGTATTTTCAGAAGGTTTTGGGAACATCATTCACTTCCAAAACGAAATCTCAAAGATTCAAATGTTTTCAAAATTTCAAGGGGCTGCTCATGAGTTGTTACCTTTAGATTTGAATAACAGGCTGATCCAATGTTTAGGTCACACACACAAACATGTTCCAAACATGTCCTCACAAATGACCTCACATTACACATTAGCAGCGTGAAACCCCAAACAGTTCTCACAAAGGTCTAAAAACATCAACACACACAAACAAACCCCGGGGCCGAGCAGCAGGGAGGATCTGTTTGTGGTCCCATTATGGAGCGTCTTCATCAGTCAGATTGTCGTGTTTATGTACCAACATCGGTTGATGTATGTCGGCTGCGATAACAACCTGTAGGTCACCTGTATCACTACACCTGCGTTGACCAGCTGGTCGTTTCACCAACATATAAGGAGACGTTCGTGTCAATTAGTAAAGATATACTTGTTATTATCATTTATCATTGTGAGGGAACTAAGACACACCTACATGTGTTTAAATGATGGTGTCACCAGTGGTGAAATGTTACTAAGTTTATTTCCTCAACTATTGTACTGAAGTACAGTTCTGAGGTACTTGTACTGAGTATGTTCATTTCCTACTACTTTATCCTTTGACTGCACCACGTCTCAGAGGTAAATACTCCACTACATTTATTTGATACTTGAGTTACTAGTTACGTTGCACATCCAGATAAATTAATTATTAAACATATAATCAACAAATAAATTATTGTATTATTATTGGTTACGATAATTACGATAAGGATTTATTGACCCTGGCGGGAAACGAGCTACCAAGCAGTGTATAAATTAATTAAAATCAGCCCCATCTTTAATTAAGTGATGTACACTGAATGTATAAATAATTATAATCCAATAAGCATTGTTATTCTGCATCATTAGTTCTTTCACTGTTGGTACTTAAAGTATATTTTGATGCTAACAATTTTAGTTGTTGTTCAGGGAAACAGAAATAGGTCATGTGTAGTCACCTGAAGTCACCTGCCAAAACACAGAGGGAAAATTTGACTATACAAAACAGGAAAAAGCTGGTATCTGTGGTACAGAGACGGAGTAAGTCACCGAACAGAAGAGACTTCCCTTCCCTCCCATTACGTCAGATTTCTGCACAACATCAACAGCAACATTTTTTCATTCTGTTATTTTAAAGTTGTTTTAAAGTTTAAAGAACTCAAAAATGAGTACACATGATATTCCGTGTATTCCACTTTGTGTTCATGTTGTCTTGAAGTTGTTTGTTTTCCAATGTTATGATGACTGTGTTCATTTGAATTTTATCTTTCATTCATACAGCATTTGGAATAACAACCTATCACCTTTTATCATATGTGCCTTTTATCTCATTTAAAATTTTATATAAGTTAGTCTCACTCGTTTCATAGTAAAGATCTCAATTCCATCTTTAAGTTATTTTAATCATTTCAGTAGATCGATCGAAAAACATTTTTATTCACGAAGTCACAGCCTTTTAATAAAAGTCAAAGCCGTATAATGTTTATACAACAGAAGACATGCCAAAGAAAAGTTTCAATATTGTAGAAAATGTCTGAACACAGCAACACGAAAGGCTGTGAAATGTTACAGAGATGATGAAACAAATAAAATCACATTTCATATCATATATCATATGTTGATTTGAACTTCCCTCAGCCTTTTTACAGTTTACGCCGCCATTTTGACCTTGCGTCGGAGCCCAAAGCAAGCTCCATTTTGCTCAGCTGTGTAATGTTTCGTATCTGTGACTCGGCCTATGTCAAGAACAATATTATTCACATAGAAAAAACAAAAGCCATTTGAAAGCTCATTACAGTTACACGAGTGTCTCTGTTTGCTTTACAGTAGTTGACAATATGAAACTTCATACGTACACGCTGATCAGTACAATGAGGAACATCCACAGTGGATCCAAATGTTATGAGCACAAATAAATATATAAAATATCAGTTTTACTTGGAAACCAAAGTCTCCTCACAGAACTGAACAATAATCACATATTCCAAAAATCTTTTACCACATTTGGTCTTTTGCTTTTTGAAATTTGATGATTTCCCTCTGCTCTAATGGCTACATGTAAACAACTGCAGAGAACTAACAAATCCATTCATCAAAAAATATCTACACACATTTATGATCCTAAATATGCACAAAAACATATGGTTTGGATTTAGTCATCCTTTTCTAGTGAGCAGTTGGTTCCAGTTGAACCGATGTAATAATCAATGAGATACATTTTTATATACATTTCTCGAACATGTACAAATAAGCAGGATACATGTGAAAATATAATAATAATCCCGCCATGGTCCTGTCCTCTTCCCTCACACATAGTCCTTCCTGGTGTAGGAGCTTTGAGCGACTGACCTCGGAGCGGCGGAGTACGCTACACGACTCTGCGGGTGCACACTGTACCTCGCTGGTTTCTCTTCCTGTGGGGGACAACTGCAGCAGAGAATGGACCCTCCAATCATCAGCAGGCCTGCAGCGGTCCAACCCAGATACAGCGCTGCCCCGATCTCCATCTTCTGTCCAGAGGGGATGAGCGGACTGTAGAACTCAACCACGATGGTGTGTGCCGACCAGGAAACAGGCACCAGCTGTGCCAGAGCTGCCATGATGAACGCCCCCCCAGAAGCAGCCATCACCCTGGCTTTGACGCCCTCGTCCTCAATGCAGTTGGTGCACTTGGCTCCCACCATGGAGATGAGGAGAGCTATTATGCCCACGATAATGGATAGGACAGTGAGCGCCCGGGCGGCCTGCAGGTCCGGAGGTAAAGCCAGCATGGAGTCATAGACCTTACATTGCATCTGCCCCGTGCTCTGGAACACGCAGCTCATCCACAGGCCCTCCCAGTACACCTGAGCTGTGACGATGTTGGCCCCAATGAAGGCAGACACCCGCCACATTGGCAGAGCACAGCTGACTATACTCAGCGCCCAGCCAAGCACTGACAGGGTGACACCGACCACTTCAAGTCCAAAAGAAACCATTGTTCACCCAGACAAACGTCTCCTCTGTGGATCAAAAGCTCCTTTATTTGTCCTTTCTCTCCTCTCAGTTCCTTCCTATTGACTTTTCTCTTGCTCACAGTTTTCCTTGCTTCCCTTTCCCTCTTGTATTTTTCGACAAATATCTGAGGGCCTTCTTGATTTTGCCCTTCAAGCTCCTGTTGGTCCAGCAGGTATGCCTCCTCCTCAAGGTAAGCACCTATTCCTGAATCCAGTGAAGTGTTGACTTGTCACAGTGCGCTGCTTCCTCCACAAACTCTCTTCTGCGTGTACGTGGCCGCTCAGATGTTGTTTTCATCTGTTGCGCTGCTCTTAAGCAGACGATGACCCTTATCATTTTATTACTATGTGGTCAGGCCCTCCTAAGACATGACATCACCTGCCAAACCAAGCCAATCAGGTGAGTCCATTTGCACTGGCCTCGTTTACCACCTGGGTGTGTTGGTGCTCATTTGTGTGCTTTTTCAAATGAGTATTTTTATGGTTTAACCTTTTGCCCATGGTAGCTCTGGGTGTGTCTGCTTTATTGCTGTCAGTAGGTAATGAGTGGCCAGGGCAGAGCTTGTAATGTGGTTCATAGGCGACCACATAAGACTTTAACGGATGTGCAAACATGTACTCTAATAAACGTGTGTGTATTCGGAGAATGAGAATGTGCATGTGTGTTTGTTTGCATAGAGAGGGACTGTATTTGAAAAAAACAGAGGAAGAGAAAAAGAGGAATTTAGCACAGATTAAATTTTAGCAGTATTTTTCTGTTTTCAAATCTTCATTTAAGTTTTGTTATGACATGCCATATTTTATTGTCTCAAGTAAAACATGATGTTAAAGTTTTTATTGCAGGACCATCTCGACTGGGTCACACAGTCTATAGGTTGTCATATTGTAAATCTGAGTTAATGAGGAACTAGAAATGATAAAGATATGCTTTATAGGTATATAGGCTTTTTTTTAACCAACTTTACTCCTGTAGCTTTGAAAATGGAGCAAACACACATGTTCAAAACATGTTAACTTCAGCAACCATCACTCAAACTGGAGTAATGCCATGAATTAATACACACACATACATATACAGCTCCCATGTTCATTGTAATGCAGCAACATGTCGCCCAGTGCAACAATGTGTCTTATTATTGTGTCTTAAAATAGATTTTGGACACAATGGAGGTCTATGGCACAGAGAAATACTTTGTGCCAGGCTTTAGATACACAGACAATAGGATCAATTGTTGGAATTATATTCAGTAGACTATCACCAGACTTGTCCTTTTTAAACATCTTACCAGGAAGTTGCCTTTGATTGGCCAGTTTCCACAGGAATGTTAAAATGTAGAACCAGCAAACAACAAAATTACTGGTCAATATGTAAGAAAAGTGAAGTTGGATTATTATCTGGCAGAGCAGAGTAAACATAATGTTTCCCTCTGAGAGAGACTGAGCTCAGACGCTGTGTTGTTCAGTCCCGCCTCACATAGACTGAACTGGCTTGGCCTGAATGACTCTTAGAAATGAGATCATGTCAGCGTATGTTCTAGGTTATTGTTTACATCAGGTCAGATTGACTCTATCAGTGTGGATCCATGTACTGTAGTGTATATCTACATACACAGGTGAGTCTGACCAGTTTGCCCAGGTGATCATTGCAGAACCTGCTGCCATTATCACAGTCTGACACACTTTTATCTTGTATACGTGTACACATTGTAACACTTCAATATTATAGTCAAACACGTCTGCTAAAGAATGGCTGACCCAGTAACCGCGATAAGATAAAGCCTGATTAAAGGGGATTATTTGAGATTAGCTTGTATTTAGGAAGGAAACAAACTATCTACCAACAACTCAAATCATATCTGACTATCCACACTATTAGATTATTTGTTTCTTTCTTAAACAAGAGATATTTGAAGGTCCGGGTGCATCTCGACAGGACCAATGCAGTGCGTTCTCCAGCTAGCTGCTTAAAGTGACAACACAGCCATATGGTCTTATAAAAGCAAACAGAGCTCCTTATCTAAACACAGCAAAGGTAGTTTTCATTTGGACTCATATTCCTGCACCTGACAAATTAAAGTCTGATATTTCTCTTTTGTATTTCACCAGCTAAAGAGGCTACAACAGATATCTCAGTCCTTCCACAGAGACGCCTTTCATGTCATGTTAATACAAAACATATAGATTTGTTTGGGCTTCAGGATTTAAATGATTAGTTATAACAGCAGCTACAATAAAATAAAATATCACTGATCAATATAAAGCAGTAGGAACAATGTCACTACAGTTATTATTATAGTGAAAAAAGGCTAAAGTCCATGTGGGAGACTCAAATAGTCTACAGCCAATGAAAGGTCCATAGAATTGGACTGAAATGTGAAATGTAAAAATGACAAAAGTTTTACAATATCCAACTTATTTGTTTAAACTTTTTTTTTTCTTTTTAAATAATGTAACTTTAATTCTGCCCTGGCAGCCAGATAATCACTCTTTATAAGCACTTTACTTATAAGTACTAAAACAACTCCACAGATATGTTTCCACTGATTTGTGCAGTGAGGGGAGTTTCACTGGACGTTTCTATCTGTGACAAATCGGTTTCCGTAAACAGCAACATCATCCATTTCCTTGTTGTTCTCGTGCGTTGGTGGATTTGTGAGAGTGTCATCTCTTCCTCCTCCTCTCCAGCCATGGAGAAAAAAACACACAAATGAGCCTTCATCTAATCCAGCTGGGTGTGTTGGGATGGTATGTCAGAGGGCATGCTGTATGAATAATAGCGTTATCTGTTTGGGTAACTGCCAAGGGAAATTCAGATAGATAGTATGGGTCAAATATTGCCAACACAATGATCATAGTAACCTAAATACAGGGGCTAATACACTGATAAAATATCCTTCCAGAGTGGATATACTGATACTGTGTTCCTTGAGGAGCTGTATAAAACTGGAGTATATACATACATACATACATACATTTAGACTTAACCATATAAGAATGTGTCGCTATGATTTTATTCCTAATCTTGCATCTTTTCTTGATGCTGGGAGTGATTTCAGTGTTGGAAATGTTAACAGAACAAGCTTCAGAATGATTGATTTAAATTTATTCTGGATCTGACCCACGTGTCCACCCCCAGGTCAAAAACATTACAGGGCACACAAACATTAACTGTGAGTATTTATGCTGCATATATATATATAACAGATCAGCTCCACCTCAATCTTCCATGACATCATGAAACCACTTACACATTAATTAATCAATCATAACGAGTCAATAATAAAAATATAACATTAACGCAGGAGGACTTTTACTTGTTATAAATGTTTAGAAACATTTTGTTGCTGATACTTGGCTACTACTTATATGGCTGATACTACTTTTACTTTTACTTTTACTTGTAAGGGCGTATTTTTATGGTGTGCTATTGCTTGTTTTACATGCGTAAATGCAATACTTTTCCCACCACTGGACTTAACCTACAAAGCAATACTTGAATAATAGTGAAACTCCTGATACAAACTTTTACTCTTTTACTACATAGATTAAGTCATTCATTGCTTTCACATGTGACTGGACCTCTGTTGTTTTCTCAAACTCCACAATTTGATTCGATTTTTTTGTCTGTAAATACTTGGCGTGTCGAAAGATTGCTCAATGATCCTACTAGACGAGCATGAAACGTGTGCAAAACTACCATAGAAACTGAAAGACCTCTTCTTCGATCGTCATCAAGAGTGGCAGCGTAATGTAATAGAAACTGTTTCCCTGAGCAGACCTCATAAACATGTCACACCCTGAATCTAAATAATGAAAAAAAAAAAGTTTATATTAAACAGTTTTAAACTGAGGCAGCTTTAAAGAACCGGACATTCTTATGCCAGTTTGTTTTTTTCAAACAATCACCAGCCTTTCATTTCAAACTGCCCAAAGATGGGGATTTCCACTGGCAGCCTTTATTGGGTCACTGGTCAGTGGTGATACTGCTCTATAACAGGACTCTCTGTTACTAAGTAATGAGTCTTCTGAAAGAGCCTTGGATTTAACGCCCGCTTAGAGATTTATGAACACATTAAAAGCTGCTTTGATGCCGCACTTTAACAACCGCCCAGACATTCTTCTCTCTCTTTGAGTACAGACAGTTGTGCGTTGAATTGCTGCATTATGAGCATATGAATGAAATGTACAAGTTCAAAAACAAACTGCAGGAAACTAAAATCACGGTCTTGGTCTCGTCTTCTTCATGTGAGTCATAAATGATCCTCACAGTGACTCTCCCAGGGAAATTCAGGGCAGATTAGAAAGTAGAGAAGCTGCTGCCTCCCTTTGGGCAGAGCAAAGAATAGCAGAGAGAACAGTCAAACAAATATGATGTCAAGTTTTTACAATGTTTACAAGTTACAAAATCCAGACCTGTCAAATATGTTGTATATCATATCACTTGCACTTAAATTGACCTCTGTTTGTTACGCTGTCCTGCTCCGCCCACAGCAATCTCACTAAATATTGAGTACAAGCTCTTTTCTGAGATAATCTGTGAACAAAACTCCCCTATATGATCCCACTTACAATCAGCCTTCAGTCTGATTTACAGATCACAGACTGAACAGAACAGAGCTCCTCTCAGTGATGACCTCCGCCTTCATTTCACATGGTCTCTTCATTTCTCACATTCACCCTATTTTAATTGTTCCCAATACATCAAGTCCAATTTGTAATTGTCCAGTTTTTTTGTAATGCTGTTTCTTAATGTAACAAGATGACTGAAGGAGTTCACATTTGTCTGCATGTGCAGCATTTCATGGAACTTCAGTGTAACCTCATGTAATCCCGCTGGTGATTTCTCGTGGATCAACCTGAGTTGTATCAGAGCACGCGTCACATGACTCGCACGTTGTGTGTCTCCTTGTTAAAACACTCTAAGTATGTGACTCAGTGTGTGAGTGGGGTTTTTCACGCTCTGTGATACGGTAAGAGAAGAAAACATACTGAATACTGCAGAATACCTGCAATACGAGCACATCTACATCCAAGAATATAAATGTTTATAGTTTTGCATTTTTAGTTTTTACTTTTGCACAGTATAAACTACCGGACACACTGTGGATACAGTCGACTTGTAGCCACACTGATCCACAATTTTGATGTCAAGGCTGTTAGAGATGAAAATTATCAGTAAATAACTCAGAAAAAGTCACTAAGAATGAATAAATCACAACAATTTTAAGTAGATATTTTCCAGCTGGTATTTACACACAGTGCCGACCTCTGGCCACAGGGCTGTTAGTTTAACTCCAGTAAAACCTCAACAAACTGTTTCTATTATTTTTAGCTGGTCACATTCATCATGTGCTTAAAGAAGAGCAAATCTAAAGATTGGATTGTGTGTGTGTGTGTGTGTGTGTGTGTGTGTGTGTGTGTGTGTGTGTGTGTGTGAAACTAATGAAAAACACAAAGTCCAAGTGAAATGTGACTGTAGATCAAAGGTGTGAACGTTTAGAATTAACATTTATATCTGGTATGAAAAATTAATTTTTAACTTTTTCCCCGGTGTTGTTTCTCCACCAGTGTCACAGTAATCATTTAATTTTCTAACAAGGCTGTGAAACGACGGCGCTTATGTTTCTGTCACATTCCACTGTTTTTCTCAGGAACTGTCACAAGCAAACTGAACATGTGAAGCAGAAGCTGGGCTGAGTTAGCGAACAGGGACGAGGCAAGTTGCTCAGCTTTGGAGGGTTATAGAGCAAAAAATGAATAAAAAAATCAATTTAATTTAATCTAATTTAATTTGGCCATGTGTTCAAGAACTACCTTGCCAGTCGCCCCCAGTTAATTTGAAATTGAGACTCGTGCTCCTGCCGGTGTTTATTTTAACTTTAATTTGATGTGATTTGTAATATTTCACAACTATTTCCATGTCTGCCAAAAGTCTATTGAAAACCTGGACCTATAAAAAGTTAGACTGCTTAGAAACAGGTTTTTAATAAATTAACGGATGTTCCTTGGAGAGTTATTGGAGGTGAAGCAACCGCGTCTCCAAGAAACAAATACATTTGAGAGAAACATGATTTCACCCAGACTACATTTATTTGTCCACATGATGACGTAGCTGCAAAGATGCAGAAAGTTCATGCAGAACAAAACTGTAAACACTAACAAGGTATTTTTAATATATTTTTGCATAGTATTTGCTCTTGAAATAATGTATCTGATGATGGCAACTAAAGCGTCTTTACTTCATTCACATTTAATTGAAGCATTGATTTTTCATTGACTTTAACCAAAGTGCTATTGTTGCCTAAACCGAACAACATGCAGGGATCAGGAGCCCACCATCCACCTACCATCCACCCCCAACACCTGCCTTGTAGTAAACTGAAAGTCCCTCAAAATATACTTGGTCATAGATAATCAATAGTATCCAGTCTTGACAGTGTTGGCATCTATTTTAACTACAGCAACATGTCATCCATAGTTTCTGAAGGTGTGATCGAACAACATCACTGAGCACAAGACCATATTTGGTCAGTCTGAAGTTTTTGTCATTTAAAACAGACTGAGTCACTCAGGACATGACTCCACCCTCCAGCTGCTTCAGGTGAAACTGGAGGTGGAGGAGGGGAAATGAAGAAGGACGATGTTCAAAAAAAAAAAAAATCTGCTGTTACCATCTTTTCTTCAACAAGATGCTTATATTGTGTTGAAATTGTGTGTTTTATTTTGCATGTAGAGGTGCACGCAAAGCGGTTTCACATGTTTCTTTTTGTTAAACTTGGTAAAGCAGGGTGGGTGGGGGGAGGGTAAACAGGTTGTGGGCTTGTGGAGTTTGGGGGTGGACCTGAAGAGCAGGGACTGATGACGGTGAGATATTTTCCTACACGGCCCCTCCTCCTCCTCCATCATATGTACTTGTTCTCCTCTGAGTCCTCTCCCATTCAGCAAAACTCACCTGACCAACAGAACCACAAAAGGAGACAAACAACCCAGAGGCCAACGTAACTGCAAGAGAGGAGTGGCAGCAAACAGAGACAGCTTTCAAGTCACCACTGCAAAAGGGAAAGAAGGTTCATTTGAAGGAACAACAAAGAACAAACCTGCTGTCCACCATGGTGTCTGCTGGGTTTCAAATACTGGGCTCAGCTCTGGGGATCCTGGGCTGGATTGGCGCCATCATCGTGTGCGCCCTTCCCATGTGGAAGGTCACTGCTTTTATTGGCAGCAGCATCGTCACTTCGCAGATCACCTGGGAAGGAATTTGGATGAGCTGTGTGGTCCAGAGTACAGGCCAGATGCAGTGTAAGGTGTATGACTCAATGCTGGCCCTCTCCTCTGACCTCCAGGCTGCCAGGGCCCTGACCATCATCTCCATCGTGGTGGGCATCATGGCTATCCTGCTGTCTGTAGCCGGGGGTCAGTGCACCAACTGTGTGGAGGATCCGTCATCCAAGGCCAAGGTGGGCGTTGCATCTGGGGTAATGTTCATTGCAGCTGGGATCCTCTGCCTCGTCCCCGTCTGCTGGACGGCCCACACCATCATCCGAAACTTCTACAGCCCACTGACTAACAGCGCCCAGAAGAGAGAACTGGGCGCTGCGCTCTACATCGGATGGGGGGCAGCTGCTCTGATGCTGATCGGAGGGGGGATGCTCTGCTTCAACTGCCCCAATAAGGATGAAGGGTCCTACACTGCAAGGTACAAAGCTGCCAGGTCCGAGGCCTCAGCACCAGCATCCGGGAAAGACTATGTGTGAAACTAGAGATCAGTATATGGCTTCCACAAAGCACTGTTTACCGGAACAGATGCACTGGTGCTACTGAGTGTTGATAATTCAGTATTTCGCCTGATCAAAAAGTTACTCCTCCTGAGTGTTTGAAGGAAATGGATAGCAGGACAGGAACCGCACGCAAAGAGGAAATCCAATTCAATATGTTAACACATTTATTAGTATGTGTATGGCTGTTAATATGACTGTTAGTAAATTCAAAGTCTTTTCTTATTAGTATACACACTCTATAACCTCAGTCTTATTTTGAAAATCTTCTCTTTTTGCCATGTATATGTGGGTTGTTTTTATAAACCATGTCTATGAGATTCACGATGGGCTGGTTAAACTGTAAATAAATATTTGTTTACAAAATTGAGATCACTTGTGCTTTTTATTTTCACACAGCAGAATTCCTTCAATGGTCCTAAAGTGGGAGAAGTCAACATTTTATAGGAGGTCTTACATTAAACTTCTCTGTATTTACTGATTTTAATGTTAATTCTACTTTTTACACCTGCAGAGATAAATAAATGTCCATTCACTGCTGGCCTTGCCTTCAAAAACAAGGGTTCTCACCCACGCAGCATTTGAGAAGCATCTATTGTCTGACTTTCCTGTAGATCAGGTCTAGGTGTGGTAGAAAAAAAGAGGCACGGCGGCTGCTCTTTGTTCAAACTGTGAGCCTACAGGCAAAGGTATTTGTGATTTATATGGACTCTCAGGACACATTTTTCATTCGTGAAGAGAAGAGCAAAAATTGCATTGACAGGAAATATTGACATCCATTTGTTGTGATCTTTAACTGAGGTTTTAACTCAGTAAAGTTGTGCAACTTGTTGTCAGTTTTATCTTGATTTAATCTAAAGTGAAAAACATTTCCTACAAAGAATATAACCTGAATCCATCTGTGGTCTGTATGATACATTTAAAGTCCCTTAATATAACACACAAACCTATATATAAGGTGATAAGTTTTAATTGTAATACAAATGAAAAGGCTCTTCAAGGGTTAATTCACCAATAATTAAATGAAGATTGGATTAAGGAACTTTTTCATGTTGGCATAATTTCAGAAAAATCCACTTCCTGGTCAGTTTGAGCTGAATGCACTGACCCAAACTAGTTTTTCTTTGCTCAAGGCTTAACCTGTGTGAGTGGGTCAGTGTGTGTGTGTTTGTATGTGTGTGAGTACAGGTGGGATCTGCAGCCATTGTTCCCAGTCTTGAAGCCTTGCTTGGGGTAACAAAGCTCGTATGTGTGGGAACAATGAAGAGGGAGAAAACAAGGGTTGTAGATATCAGGTCTCAGCCTTCCCCCTTTTGTCTGGGAGCACAGAAACTCCACCCAGAAAGTTTGAACCACAACGGGAAGCAGTTTTCTTCTCGCAGTGGGACCGCAGAGCATCAGAGCACGGCGGACACTTGCTCAAGCAGTTGTGAGAGTGGCGTGTATTAGACCCCACAACCCATAAAGCCTGCGGTGATTTCATGCAGTCAGAATCAAATCATCTTCAAGACTTGGACATTTCTGAAACAGCAATCTGTTCTTACTTCTAGTTGACTTCTGGCTGCAGTGGCATAACCATGGCTTCTCAAGGTCTCCAGATGATGGGTATACTGCTGGCCTTCATCGGCTGGCTGGGCACCATCATCACCTGCGCTCTGCCCATGTGGAGAGTCACTGCTTTCGTCGGTGCGAACATCGTCACCGCCCAGGTGATCTGGGAAGGCTTGTGGATGAACTGCGTGGTCCAGAGCACGGGTCAGATGCAGTGCAAGGTCTACGACTCCATGCTGGCCCTGCCGCAAGACCTGCAGGCTGCCAGGGCCATGGTGGTCATCTCTGTGATAGTTGGGGTGTTCGGCGTGCTCATGGCCGTGGTTGGAGGAAAGTGCACAAACTGCATGGAGGATGAGGTGGCCAAAGCCAAAGCTTGCATCGTGTCCGGTGTGATCTTCTTAATAGCCGCCTTGCTGATCATGATCCCGGTGTCGTGGTCAGCTCACGCAGTGATCAGGGACTTTTATAACCCCCTGGTGATCGCAGCTCAGAGGAGGGAGCTCGGGGCTGCGCTTTATATCGGCTGGGGCTCCGCTGGGCTGCTGCTGCTGGGAGGGGGCCTGCTCTGCAACAACTGCCCCCCAAAAGACGGGAGACCCTACGTACCTGCCAAGTTCACCCCTGCAAGAACCGCATCTTCACACATGGACTATGTGTGAGGGTTTTGACAACAGCGGCTGCAGAAGGTGTCTTGGGACATTCAAGAGGATCAGCTATTTCATGTGCTGAAAAATGTTTTTGCTGAAGCTGAAGAAAGTGAGAGAAAAGAAAACTAAATTGCATTTCACATTTTGGTTGATTAGAAACATTTCCTCCGCTCAGTTTCTAAATTTGAATGATTTTTTAAAATATTTTAGAGCATCTAATAACACGACACAGCACATTAAACCGTACTGATAACAAAAAGCCTCGATGATTGATTGGTTGTGTGGTGGCTTGGACTTTTTAGATGCAGTGTGTCCCTGTCTTAAGCTGACATAAGCTGTCAATTACCAGTTTTCACATGGCAGTATTTCTCTTAGCTCTTTTTCATAAATAAACATTTCCCCTGTTGTAATTCTAATTATGAATTACATAGCTACTATTAGGAGTCATTTTAATATTGCAGACTGAGACTGAAGAAGTGATGTAAAATATCTGTAATGGCTCCGGTTTATATCAACTATTGCACAGGTTGCTGCTCAGAGAAGTTGGGAAAACAAATATTAATGCAGAATTCTGAAAAGCAAATTTTTTATTATTATTATTATACTGGACAATGTACACTTAAAATCTATCTATAATCTATGACGCCACAATGATCACTACAGGACTTCCAATTGTCAATTGTCCAATTGAAATACCAGAAATAAAGTGTCTTTGTTCAAACGCTTCGTGACGTCTTCTCTTTCTCACGTTCGCTCTGCACCTGCACAGAGCTGAAACTGTACTTCTCACGCACCACTCATGATAATGCGCTCAGGAATTCAGGGGAGTAGACTCCTGGAAATTGATGTATCTGGTTGAGATGTTTTCCATGTTGTAATCGGCTGGCCTCGTATTAAGACAGTAAAGTACAGTTTCTGTCTTCAGTGAAAAATGGACATCAGTGCCTGAGACAACAGTGCACTGTGTATGCTGGGATTCATGTTGCTAAGGAACTGTTTTATATCTGCAAAGAATGGATATTTACACTTTGCCCAGTAAGAGCACATCTGCCAAGTCTTGTCAGGATGATATATCCTTAACCTCTTTAATGGGTTTCTTTTTGTTTACAGACATTTTCAACTGAAACCAGTCTGCCAAGAGAAACAATACGCTGCTGTAATTTTTCTACCATTGTGTCTGTTTTACATTTTGGCCCCTTAGCTGAGATCAGGCCAGTCAGATCTTTTGCTTTGGTAAAAGTAACAATATACAGTGTAAAAATGTTGCTTACTTGTGGGTAAAAGTACACAATGTACTTGAAGTATCACATGTAAAAGTACTCATTATGCAGAATGCCTGTTGTCAATATTAACATATTACAATACTGGATTATTTGTTCTGATGCAAGCAACATTTCAATATTTTATCTGGTCAAGGTGGAGCTAACTTATTAACAATACTTAGCTAAGTATTTTATAAAGTCAAATCAATTATTTATATAGCCCAATATCACAAATCACATATAGCCGTGATAATAACATATAGATCATCTAAGATGATCATGTTTTGTGTATAAAATCTTAATCTTAGATCCAATATTTTCAGTATGCATACCTTGTTTGTTGAATTCCACTAGATCAGTCATATTAAAAACATTGCTGACAAAAAAATAATGTTTATTGCATGAATGAAAAAAAAAACAGAATGAAAAATAAATTTCACATGGCGAAAAAGATGTTGCAAAAAAGACAATAAAAACACCAGGAGAGTCTGAATTAATATTGAAATTATGATACAAAACAATGACTGAATTTAAAAAAAAACTCTGGTCCTAACTCAATGACGCATTAATCTAATATGCCACATACCTTAGAGTCTCTTGCATTTCTCAGAAACAAAAGGCAGCAGTGTGTTAGTTAAAAGAAGTTAGTCAAATTGCAAATCACACTTGGATAAGCAACAGGTTTGTACTATATGTAAAGTCAGCCACTTTTCAAAAGGAGCCTCCAGCTCAGACAAATTCCTTCCCAGGTGTTGTGGACTTGGGCGGGGAGTACTTCGGTCCATTATAGCGGTCTCTTCCTGACGGGCACTGACAGCAGAGAAGAGCACCACCGATCAGCAGCAGTCCCGATGCTCCCCAGCCCACGTACAAACACGCACCCAGCTCTCTCCTCTGGGCATCAGGAACCAGGGGGTTGTAGAAATCCTTTATGATAGTGTTAGCAGGCAGGGAGACAGTCACCAGACACAGAGCCCCGCTCAGGATGAAGAAAACACCTGCTGAGATGGCCACTCTGGCTTTTGCTGCTTTGTCCCCAATGCACGTGGTGCACTTCCCTCCAACTACAGAGAGCAGCAGGCCAAACAGAGAGAACAGGATGGCGATGACTACCATGGCCCGGGCCGCCTGGAGGTCAGGAGGCAGGGCCAGCAGGGAGTCGTACACCTTGCACTGCATCTGGCCCGTGCTCTGCACCACACAGGTCATCCACAGTCCTTCCCAGATGCTCTGAGCCACCACAATGTTGTTCCCAATGAAAGCAGACACCTTCCACAGGGGCAGCATACAGATCAGTATGTTTCCTATCCATCCGAGCACCGCCAGCCCAACGCCCAGAATCTGCAGCCCCAGAGATGCCATTGCTGTTTGCTGGTGTTCCTCTTTTTTTTCTTTTTTTTTTTTTTTAATCGGTGTGTCTCAGTTCTTCACTGAGCTGTGAACTAAAAGCTCTCCCACTGTGGGGAAGTTTTATATGACCCAGTTGAGCAGCCCCCCACCCGCTCTGGGTGGGCTTTGGCTCCATTGCTCAGATATAAACATCCATCATGCTGCCTTTGACTTCAGAGGTGTTTCTGTCCTACAAAGAGGCCCTCTGGTGCCCCAGCAGAGCTCTGAGAGAGAAAAGAAGCTTTAACAGTATGGCTCAGATAAAAGCTTATGTGTCACAAAGTTGTGAAAGGTCAAACATGAAAATCCAACTTTATGGAGTAGGATGATATTCTGTAAAACATCAACTTCAAAGTGCTTTGCAAACGACACTGGATTAATAAAATCTTTTCAGATGGTAGAGCAGTGATTTCCAGTCAGGGGTAGACTCTCCAGTTGGCAGTGGATATGTGGAAATATTGTGGAGAAGCTGAGTATGAAAAGAAAAAGAAAAAGTTGATTTTGTTAATTATGGATAAATGGTTAAAATTGCTAGTTAAAATGAATGAACTTACAATTGAAATAATTAGCTTGAAGTAACAGATAAATGGTTGAAATAGGATAAGATAAGATTAGACACTACTCGCAGGTCAATGTGTAAGGTATTCAGACTGTAGCACAGACATGATCTCCCCTCTTATACCATTTGTTAAATGTGTTTTGGGAAGTTAACCAATTAGACCAAGTTGGACCCTTTTTACTGGAACAAGCTTTATCCAAATATTCCCAGAAATCGATGTTCCACATCATTAATAATTTCAGTGTGAAGTAGCCAAGGACAATGTCCCCACCAAGTCTCAGACTGATTACTCCCTCAACATGAACAACAAGTCAGGCAATGAACTCCACACAAATACAAAACACACATCAATCCCACTGTCATGATTTCCCTCACAAAGTGGACAGTACAAAAAAGAACTTGCCTGGCGGTTGTATGCCTCAGTCACTCAGGTTACATCCCTCTTTTGTTTTGTGAGGTCAGCATGACATTGACCTTCGACCTTTGACCACCAAAATCTAATCAATTCATCCTCAAGTACAAGTGAATGTTTGGGCCAAATTTGAAGAAGTTCAGTCGAGGTGTTACTGAGATATCATGTTCACAAGAATGGGATGGGTGAACGTATGCAAGTACGCACGCCGGCGTGGAGGCATGAAAAGGGTGGTGTCGGTGAGGGGATACTTGACGTAATTTATTATTTTTTAACACCTAATTATGTAACTTATTTAGTCAAAGCTTAATATATAAAACCTCAACCTAAAAAATATTGCCATCAATGCAATCTACAATATGTTCCCGTATGGATTTTAATTTCTAATATCATCAATATTAATAGCTCTATGACTATCCTTCATGTTTTTCCTCCTGACTCTGTTCTGATACATATTTCTTGTTCATTTGTATGTGGATGTTTGACACACGTCCAACAACTCAGAGCAACAAGAGTCAAGCACAGCTGGGCTCGCTGGCTAATCAGCACAGGTGGAGTCAATCAGCCTGATTAGCGCACTGGTAAGAGAACAGGAAGTAAAGTGGTGAGCAGGCAGCCATCAAGACGGTCTGTTCATGTTCTTCACAGACACTTGAAAATGTAAAACAGGGAGATATTTGAGTGTCGTTACATGTTGCAGAATGCTGGGAAAATAAATTTGAAAATACAGCCTTCCATGTCTTATTTCTTCTAACAGTTCAGATGAAAGCCAGACCTCCGAAGGAGCCAATTCACTCACAGTAAAATCATCATTTTAAACAAGTCACATTATGTGAGGAGATGTTAGGCTACCTGAGAAATTTTCATGTTTTAAATACATTTCATTTTCTGCTTTATAATATGAATAATAAGAAATTTAAAAGAACACGTGTAGACTTAAAAGCTTAAAAGCAGAAGGTTTTTAAGTTTGTAGTGAGTTAAAAAGAAAGACATTAAATATCAGATAATATTTTAGATTAATAAACAAAACATGATATGAATTAATATATTTGAGAGATTTCAAAATTGATTAATTAGTATTTGTTAAGAGATACAATCTCCCCAAACAGTCCTCCACAAAATCATCAACTTCTACCAGTGTGGTTGATAATATGGCACCGACTTAATGACCACAGGTGTTTTCAGTTTGGGCAATTTTGAACAGCCAATCAGAAGAAACCACGGCTACCATGTGGGTATAAAAGCTGCAGGTGAGAAACCACTGTCAGTATTTCACTTGCATCATACTGCTGCCGCTCAACGAGAGACAAACATGGCGTCTGCGGGTCTTCAGATCTTTGGCATCTTCCTGGCATCCATTGGCTTTTTGGGAGACATCATCATCTGCGCCCTGCCGATGTGGAAGGTGTCTGCTTTCATTGGGAACAACATAGTGACGGCGCAGGTCTTCTGGGAGGGCCTGTGGATGAACTGTGTGAAGCAGAGCACCGGCCAGATGCAGTGCAAGGTCTACGACTCCATGCTGGCTCTGCCCCAAGACCTGCAGGCGGCCCGGGCCCTCGTCGTCATCTCCATCCTGGTCGCCTTCATGGGAATCCTGCTCGCCGTCGCAGGAGGAAAGTGCACCAACTGCATTGAAGATGAGGTGGCCAAGAGCAAAGTAGCCATTGTTGCAGGGGTGTTCTTCATCATCGGTGGCATCATGTGCTTGATCCCTGTGTCTTGGTCTGCGAACGAGGTCATCAGGAGCTTCTACAATCCCGTTGTGATCGACGCACAGAGGAGGGAGCTGGGAGCGTCACTGTTCATCGGCTGGGGATCAGCAGGACTCCTGTTCATTGGAGGTGCACTTCTGTGTTGTCAGTGTCAGCAGCGTAAAGATAGCAGATACTCTGTCAAATACTCTGCCCCACGCTCAGCAGCGAGTGGAGGAGCCTACGTTTAAAAAATGCCTGCAAGTACTTCTACAGTCTGCATGTTTCTTACTGCAGGAAACTGGATTGAACTTTCCATGTCATGTTTTAACTTTTTGTTTTACTGATTTTAATAAATCTAATTTTTTTTTATTATCAGTTTCCTTGTTTGTGTAGTGGTGCATGGCATTGTGAAGACCAATGTTTCACCATGGTTTTGTGCTTGACAAAGCCTTAATTCTTAATGGTCTGACTTCAACCTAGTTTGTATAGGTGTCTCATCCAGTTTCAGACTCAGCAGGAAAAGCACAGATGTCTGCTAATTAACAATGAGACAACTAAACTCTAATTTCCCAGTGAACTAGCATGCACAATTCAAAACCCTGTCTGAAATCGCTACCTGTGGTTTTCACTGTAGTGAGCTGCAAGTCAAATCAGTCTGACTCAATGAACCACAGAAACTTGTGCAACTATAAAATGTCTGAGTTTAAAAGTTTTGCACAGTGCAGCATTCCACTACTGGATTCCTGTGCGTGGACAAACGCAATGCACACCACAAATGGGGAGTAATGCATATGTGGGAAGGTTGGGGATTAATTCAGTCTGGAATGATTTTTAGTGACTTGTAGAGACTGCCAAGTTTTAAAAGAACTTGGTTTGATTTATTTATACTTGACTTATATTATCTTTACCACTTATCTTACTTTGAAATAAGGGCCGTCAGTGGCTCTGGCTCAGGAATAAACACTGATTTCTGGTGTGGTCAGACAACCTCATGTACCACTTACTCTCTAGTATAACCTTAAACATGGGCACATGTTAAGATTTTTATTTGGTTTACCTTCAAGTAAACTAAGATGTTTTTCCTACTGATTTGACATTAAAGGAATAGTTGAACATTTTGGCACATGGATTAAAGAAGACATGATGTGTTAATTTGAGCTTTAGAGGTGCTGGCTTCAGAACCAACCTAATCATTTCCAGTTTTTGTGCTAAGCTAAGCTAACCAGCTGCTGGCCCTGGCTTCATATTTACTGTACAGGAAATAATTCCTCATCTAGCTTATTTTTCAGTATTGTAATCACTAGTGAACATTAATCAAACAGGTGTTGATATACTCTTTCCTTCCTGTGTATCAATGTGTTCTTTCAGGTGTTTTTCTTCTTTTAAGCTCTGTATAGGTTTATTAGAACCTGTTGGAGAATTAAAGCACTCATGTCATGTAATATGTCATGTCAGGTTTAAATAGTTTGACATGTGCAAACTTTTACATTTCTGGGCATAGTTAAATTTTGGGATCAAAGCCTTTAGTTTTGGGTCACAAAGCAGTTTTTCATTCATGATGTCTTTTGTTTTTCTGTCTCCTCCTGCTCATTCATAGCGATCAGGAATCAGGACAAGCAGGAAACCTGATCTGCAAACTAGCACAGTCCCCTCCCTGCTACTCTTCCTTCTCATACCAGCAGAGCAAAACAGCAAAACACAACCAGCAGCGTGCGTTTGTGAGTAAGTTTGTGATCAAGATGATCTTCTGCTCAAACGAAGGTGGATTTTGTTGGTTTCTTTGACATTTAAAAGAACTTTCGAATACGTGCACTGGATTTGTGTTTTTGGAAACATGCGGAACCAGCTCGTTGGTATGTGTTTGGCAATCATCGGCTTTCTTGGCACCATCCTTATCTGTGGGCTGCCCATGTGGAAGATGACGGCCTTTGTTGGGGCAAACATCATCACCTCTCAGGTCTTCTGGGAAGGTTTATGGATGAACTGTGTGATCCAGAGCACGGGCCACTCGCAGTGTAAAGCCTATGACTCCATTCTGGCTTTACCGCAGAACCTGCAGGCCTCCAGAGCTCTGATCTGTGCTTCCATCGCTGCCAGCGTGGTGGCCATCGGGCTCACTGTGGTCGGGGTCCGCTGCACCAACTTCTTTCGTGATGACTTGCTGACCAAAGCCAACACTGGCCTCGCCGGAGGTGTGGTGTTCATAATAGCAGGGCTCCTGTGTTTAATTCCTGTCAGCTGGTCAGCTTACAGCATCATCACAGGTTTCTACAACCCACTGCCCACCAGTGAGAGGAGGGGAGAGCTGGGAGCCTCCATATATGTGGGCTGGGCGTCTGGAGCTCTGCTCGTCATTGGAGGAGGGGTGCTGTGTAGCACCTACAGGTGCTGAGGCAGAGAAGAAGAGAGAACGGAGAACACCATGACATCCATTAAATACATACTTCAGTTGAAAATGTACAGTCCTGTGTTCAGTGATGTTCATTTGATTAAAGCTCCTTTTTTTAACCTTTAATTGCACTGCACTGACATTTCACAACAAATCAGATTCAAATCTGTGTAAAATATTAAAATGTAGCATGTTAAAAGTTTGAAATAACTAGAATAACAGCCAGTGTTGTTTGTTTTTGAAAGTGAAGAATGAAAAACATGAAGTCTGGTCAAGCTAATAGTTGTATAATGTGATGCTGCAGGATGTTAACTGCTAAGGGTGTTTTAGTATGTATAGGACAAATTTTGATGTTTCACGAATAATCACTTTAATCACAAAGATTTATAAAAGACATTTATCGTGTTTGATAATCTTATATTTACAGTATTTCTTAAAAAAAGAAAACAATTGCTGGTGTGAAGAACTTTCAGAATTAAGCAAATCAGAAAAAACTGAGAAAAAGTTATTACTCTTAAAACAAGAGTTGTGAAAGAAGTGAAATTGTACTGGGAACATCTGTAAGGACTCACTTCACTGTGTTTTTCTATGATTAACTGAACTACATGTTTGCTAAGGTGTCCAGTTGTTGAGTGTGTTTTGCCATGAAAAGTGGACTAAAGTATTCATCTTTGTATCTTAAGTCAATAAATTCAGTTTGCATATTTGTATTTTTGATTTTTTTTCTCTTTTACTATTAATAAAAAATATTTTTTTAGCACACACACAGAAAAATGTGTCACTTTTGAGAAGCATCATCCATTTCACTTTGTTTAAAAGCCTGAAAAACTTGATGTGGGTTAAGCTCAGAGGTATTTGAATACTCTCGCTTTATTTACAGACTGTTCACAAACTGCCTCCTTCTGCTGCAAGTTTGCACATCTCTGTTGATCTTTGTCATCTGACTGCTTAACAGAGAAACACAACTGCTGACGAGAGGCCACTTACTCTCCGCTTCAACAGGAGCTTGACTCTCTTCTTATTCTTCTCTCTGAAAACCTGCCAAGAATACCAAAAACATAATATAAAAAATTCACAGTGGATATTTTTTGTTGAATTTGCTTCTTTGTCGCAGCTCAGGTTTTACTTTACTGCTGCATATCTGTGTATTTGTGTATCTTAAAATGGGAGGGCAGGGCCGGCAGATCGGGGGCCTGGCGCTGTGTGTGATGGGTGTTTTAGGAGTGTGTTTGGCATGCGGACTACCGATGTGGCGCGATACGTCTTTTGTGGGAGCAAATATTGTGACTGCACAATCGGTAAGTAGATATGCAGTACATCTCAGAGGAATTCATTTCACCTACTACATGTTAAATTTGATCATTTCCGTTGCATTGGCCAGCAGGTCTGCCATGTTGTAATGAAAAGGAAGGGGGTTCAGTGTGAAAGTGTATAGAGTGATGTGAATTGATGTTAGTCACATTAATGCTGGATCACACTGAAAAACATGTTTTTCACTTTGACTGACAAAATGCAAAAACCAGAAATTAGAATACCAAAGATTTTGAACTGAATTTGGATTTCTGCATGATTGAGCACATGAGCTGCTTCTCACCACCAAAAGACTTCGGGGGTTTATGCACCTCACCCCCATGAAAACTTTAGATCTTGTCCAGCCTTTAAAATCTCTGTGAAGATTCCCTCTGTTTCCGTCTCAGGTGTGGGACGGTCTGTGGTTACACTGTATCCTCCAGGCGACAGGTCAGATGCAGTGTAAGAGACACACGTCGTCCAACACCATGACCCCCGACATCCAGGCAGGACGTGCCCTCACGTTGCTCTCCATCCTCGCCGGCCTCCTGGGCTTCATGGTCACCCTCCTTGGAGGAGGCGTAGCCAACTGTAGTGGAGCGCCACCTGACCCCGTTGAGCCTCCGAACACGTCTTCCTCCAGAAAGAAGGTGCTGGAGTTTTACTCATATTGTGTGGACTGGGAGGTTTGCAGCTCTGTAAGGAAACGCTGTAAAAGTGTAAAAGTGTAGATTGCAGGAAGGAATTTGAATTCTTGAATTTCACTGTCTTAAAAACAACAAAAGTGAAGGGCAGACCAATATTAACCTCCTTGGGACCAACTCTCTGGTTTGCCAGTGGTAATATGAATGAGAACAAATTTATATAGTAATTTCCAACACAATTATGCTTAAAGGCCTTAAATTACATTTCAACACATGGCCCCTCCACAAGATCTCAAGAGTAACCACAAATGCAGCAGCCACCTTAACGCCGCTACCATTTCAGTTTGGATTGTGCTTTAGCGGCACATACTCCCGAGCAAGTTTGTAATTCATCAAATTACCACCAACTAATTGCCACACAGTGAGCCCAGGGCTGTTGATAGTCGGGGGCCCCAGGGCAGTTCAGGGCACCCAAACATAGAAAACCTAGAGACTCAGTAATCAGTCATGAAATTGCAATTTTAGTTCAATTAAATTCAATGTACTTGACAATGTGGATACTGACGTCAAGTTTCTCTAACAGTTCACAGTGAAGGAGAAAAACAATGATCGTTTGATCAAATCCCAACTTTTAAATGCTGTTTCACTTCTTTTCTGCGCGCCCTGAAATGACCTCTTAAATAAGGTTTTCCAGTTGCATCAAAACAACGCAGCATGTTTTATAGAAAAATGTAGAAATATTTGTTCTGCAAAACTGGGTAAATGAAGATTAAATTTACATTACCACAGAGAATCAAAGCTTTTGCACCACTGGGTGGTGCTATACATGAAGTCCAATCTGCTCACAGTCAAGGTGCTCTGTGCTTCTGCTTCATGATACTGAGTTTCACACTGAAAGTTTCATAACAAGCCGTGACTGATGATACAAATATTTTTCCAATCTGGTCTGTGAGTGATGCTGACGTACTGTTATTGAGTATTGAGTTGAGACATTTCATCATAATATCCTTTCTTCTTCCAGGCCTGTCTGCTGGGTGGCGTTCTGTGTGTCCTCTCTGGCATCCTGTGTCTGGTTTCAGTCAGCTGGTCAGCAGGAGCAACCATCTCAATCTACAATGACCCCTTTGTAGCTGCTGCCCTGAAGAGGGAGGTGGGCTCCTCCATCTACATAGGCTGGGCCTCCGCTGTGCTGCTCCTCCTCAGTGGCGCTCTGATCTGCTTCGTCTGCTGCGAGAAGGAGAGACCCCCACCTTCCTACCACTCCTACATGCCGTACAGCAGCAGCACTCGATTCAGCAACAGTTCCTCCCGCAGGGACACTCTGAAGTCTGATGTCATGAGGTCAAACAGCTGGAGGATGTTTGATCAATCGCCAAATAGGATGCTAGAGCACGTAGCCCAAGTGCATGACTATCACCCCCTGAATAAAGCTCAGAGTTTGGCTGGGCTCTATAATCATCCTCAGGGGACACAACCGGGGTCTGAGCAGGGGACTTTAGGCCGTAATCTGTCAAACAGATCAGGGACACCAGACGACGGGGAGGGCTTATTCATGGGAATGAAACCAAATCTGGTGCACGACGTTCCCAGCAGAGCGACAACGGTGCCAAATGAATATTATTACGATGGGGTCTAATCTGTAGGGATGGACTGTTTTCAAGAATGACTGACCACAGGAATCACTTAGACGTCAAGTGTGGTCACTGATCCTTTCTGTTTAAATATTAATCCGTCCCAACTATCGCAGCATCTTCTTCGGACAGATCAATAAGGTTTGATATTAATAACAAGCCTCTTGTGGCTGCAGCTTCAGGTTAAAGTATGGTGCAGCACACACACACTTGCACATAAGCACACACATATATATTCATGCAGAAATATAAATACATCCTGAAACACACACACACACAAACACACATAGATGCATTCTCACTTGCATACACATACATACTGATACACACATATGCGTGCATGTTATGCATGTATGTGTATGGATGTATGCATGTATGTGCAAGTTAAATATTCAATTTTGGCCGAGCTGGCTTCTCACATAATACTGAACATACAAGATGATTTTAACGACTTAAAGGCTATGTATCAGGAAATAAAATAAATAGAATAAGAATAATAAGTAACACATTATTTTAAATTATTTTTAAAATAATGAAGTAAATGGAAATACAGTCAGTCTGTCCTCCTAACACACATTTTATCAGATAGAATTAACAGGTTTCCTTTCAAGGAACCAGTTAGCTGCCGTCTTTATCGTTTATCGACACTTTTTAAAGATGAATCTAAGTTCCTGTTTAAACATCATCCTCCAGAGATATGGTTGTGATAAATGTGTCGACAAAACACAAACTGTTTTTAGCACTTTGTTTTTAGCCTGTGTGCTGGGCTATACGTGAAAAACAAGGAATATATAGCATTTCTTTTAATTATACTTGTATATCCATTTATAGTAATGGTTATTTTCCTTCACGTGGATATTTGCTTGAGGAAGAACTAAGAACTAAGAACATGGTCAAAATGTTTCTGATAAAAATGAACAGAGCTGTGACTCCAGAGTGTGTGTGCACTCTTTTTGTTCTGCTTATCTAATCAAATAAAAAGAAACACATTAAACTGGACACAGATGATGTTCAGCAAGTATCTGTTGTGTCCTTCCGTGACGCAGTGACTACTGGTGCTGAGCCACCACCGATAGAAGGACAAGAGGGAGCTTCCTCGCAGGGATGTCGTCATCTTTACATGCCATTACACTCCAAACATTAAAATGCCCGTGCTTTTACCCTCACTGTGAACGACTCTTAGATACTTCAGTGATACTGTGAGCTGCTTCTTAACACTTAAGACTTTCACATAGCTTTTTAAGGGATTTAATTTTGTATTTAGACTCAAAGTGAATAATGAATCACAACTGGAGGGAGTGAAAAACAAGTAAGTAGAAACTGACGTTGAAACTGAGGTTGCCATGATGAACTGACAGTTACATACTTAAATGTCCTCCGAGTAAATACTGAACATCTTTTAAACATAGTGTGCTGTACTTGTTATAAGGGGTTCTGTGTTGATCTCTGAAACTCTGCCGTGTCTCATTTCCACTGCTGCTGCGAAGCAACTGGTCAGGTGAGATGTCTTCACAAACCAGTTTCAGCTGAGAGCCCTCACCAGGAAACTCCTCCTCTGACTTAACAACAAAACCTGTCGGCAAGTCACTGTCGGCTTCTCCTCCGAGTGGGCAATAAAAACCACTACCTGCTCCTTTGTCTCCTCTCACACATAAATTACCCCGTCTCTCAGCAACGCACAGTCTTTCCTCTGTGACGAGATCGTCAGAGCTTCAGCATGGTGTCTAGCGGAAGGCAGATTCTGGGGACGGCCCTGGCCATCATCGGCTTTCTGGGGAGCATCATCATCTGCGCTCTCCCCACCTGGAAAGTCACGGCCTTCATCGGTGCCAACATCGTCACTTCTCAGGTGATCTGGGAAGGTTTGTGGATGAACTGTGTGACACAGAGTACAGGCCAGATGCAGTGCAAAATCTACGACTCTCTCCTGGCCTTGCCTCAGGACCTGCAGGCCGCCAGAGCACTCGTGGTCATCGCCATCATCGTCGGGGTCTTTGGGATCCTCCTGGCCGTGGTCGGGGGCAAGTGCACCAACTTTGTGGATGACGAAAGGCAAAAGTGCAAAGTGGCCATCGCTGCTGGAATCATCTTCCTCATCGCAGGCCTCTTGGTGCTCATCCCCGTCTCCTGGACCGCCAACACCATCATTCGTGATTTCTACAACCCCCTCATGACCAACGCTCAGAGGAGGGAGCTGGGGGCCTCGCTCTACATCGGCTGGGGTACCGCAGGGCTGCTGTTCCTGGGTGGGGGTCTCCTCTGCAGCTCCTGTCCTCCCAGTGATGAGAACGACTATGACGTGAAGTACTCCAAGGCTCGCTCTGCGGACAGCAGCAAGGCCTACGTTTAGATCGTCAGCAGGAAAGAGATTAGACAAAGAATATATGAAACGTTCACCGTCTGTTTGTCCCACAAAGACGAGTCAAGTTCAACCATTTAGAAAAAGCATCTGTAATGTTGTTAGAAAAGACAGGAGCTTCTACAGGATGCCACTTAAGCATGTGTTTTAATTTGAAAAACATGTTGTAAAATGTGCAGTTTTTTTGATTCTTTATATGTGAACATTCAGTTTTTTTGTATTTTACACAAATTTCTTTGTATCTTTTGTTTATGTTGTTAGTTATTAGTTTCACACACTGATATAACAAGTTCTCTATGACGTGTGTGAGATTCAGAGCATGTTTGTTAAAAACTGCTGTGTATGAAACACGTTGTGTATTTATCTTTAGCCGTTACGTGTCTGATACTCCCTCTCTCTATCAAACTCACTGAATATTGATGATCAAGTGACTGATTCTGTGTTATTGTGTTTATTACTGCATGACATTAAGATGTAAATCATATCTACATGTATGTGAGCATGTGCAATTACGTTTTTCCATCTTGTTGCTGCTGGGTTTTTTTTGTGTTGCAGTTGCAGTGATGATAAATGCCAAATATCTGGTTTGACAAGTTCACATGGAAGAATCCTTACAAACAGGCTGTGTGACTATGTGTTCTTCCCGCCAACGAAACAATGCTAAATAAACCAAGAGACTGATTGATAACTCTGTGTATATGTAATATTTCCTCTTTTTATCTCTTTTTTTTAACTTTTGCATAAGAGGATGAGAAGATAAAAAGAGATATTGTTAATAAAAACAAAATGTAACATGTTTGGCATTCACAAGCAGTATATACAAATTTTACAAATAGTTTATAAAACACTATAATGTAGTTTAAGCAGTTACAAGCGTTTATTAATATTATTTATTAACAACTATGAGCTAACTCCTCTTGTGGAGACCCATAAACGGAGGCTGGTATAATACAAAATATATCTTCACAAATAGTTATGTCCTTATATTTCTTTATATAGTGTATTTATGTGTATAAATAGGAAGACTTGATGTAAAAATACAACACATATACGCTACTACACTTAACTGACTCTTTGTGTTTGTTTCCAATGACAATATTGATGTTTATATAAGATAAAATAGTTTGAGTCCTTCAAACATACTTTTTAGTTTAGTCACAATGTGGAAAATAAAAGAAAAGAATGGACACAGAAACTGTCCCTCTGAGCTTTACAAGGACAGTGAGATTAAAGATTATTTTTTGAGCCTGATTAAAAGGTTTGGTCGTGTCGTGTGTGTGTGTGTGTGTGCGTGTGTGTGTGTGTGTGTGTATGGGGAGGGGTTTCGCATGTTTGGAACAGGTTTTTCTGCTGCTGTAAACTCTGCTAGAATGAAACTGGTTGACTCTCGGTAGATTGTGTTCCACATTGCTCTCCTTTTTGTTACACAAATACATCCTGCATTCACGCATTATTCACATGTGCAAGCGCATTGCCAGGAGATCTGTAAACACACACACACACACACACACACACACAGATACATTGAGAATGAGCACAGAGATTACATCTAAATAAAATCACATTAAATTCCTTTTTTTTTCCATTTTCAACCCATTTCAGCGTTTGTGCAGAGAGATGGTTTATGAGAGAATAAAAACAACAATTCAGCCCCAATGACAGTGTGTGTTATAAACATGTTTAACGCTCACAGGCCTGTCATTCTTCCTGCGTTATCCGATGCTTACTGCTTCCGAAATAATCTCATCAAAGATAACAAGGGCGGGAATAAATGATGTCACAGTTTCACAGCTACCTCTCCCTCTCCCTCTCTCTTTCTCTTTCTTCTGTTAACCTCCTCCCCTTTCTTCTCCCTGTTGACTAGGTGTGGCGCATCCACACCTGACCAGTAGCACACAGGCAGCCGCTCAGGTGACAGAAAAGAAAGAGCACTCTCAGGTAGAGAAGCTACTGAGAGAGAGGGGGAAGGAGAGGACAGCAGTTGGGGATACGGAGGGGGGAGGGACCGAGTCACAGGAAAAGTAAGGCTGTAAACAAATGAACTGAGACACACCTGGAGTCAAGTAAACGCTATTGGGGGCCGGACAGACGACTGAAATAGTCAGAAAAGGCTGTGTGTTCCTGAGATAGTTACTTTACATTGTAACTGTGGCAAGAAAAAATGGAGGTGTATGAAAACTGCAACATCACAGACTGAAAAAGAAAAGCTCTGAGGGAGACGCAAGAGAAGAGAAGAGAAGAGAAGAGAGACTGGAGTGAAAGCAAAAGGAGCTCCACCGAAACAAATCAACACATCAGGGCACCTCTGTGGGGATTTCTCGAGCAGCTTCAGAGATCTTCCCGCCTCTGCTACACCATGGCCTCCATGGGGATGCAGATGCTGGCCAGCGCCCTGTGCCTCCTGGGTTGGGCAGGGGTCATCATCAGCTGCATACTGCCCATGTGGAGGGTCACAGCCTTTGTGGGCAGCACCATCGTCACCTCCCAGACCATCTGGGAGGGCATCTGGATGACCTGCGTGGTGCAGAGCACAGGGCAGATCCAGTGTAAGCCGTACGAGTCCCTCCTCGCTCTCACCGCTGACCTGCAGGCCGCCAGGGCTCTCACCGTCCTCGCCATCACCACAGGCGGCATAGGCCTGATCCTGGCCTTCGTTGGAGGGAAGTGCACTCGCTTCTTGGATGAGCAAGGAGGCGGGGCAAAGGGCAAGGTGGCTGTAGCAGCAGGGGCGGTGTTGATTACCACAGGACTGCTGTGTTTGATCCCCACATCTTGGGCGGCTGGGGCGGTGGTGAGGAAGTTCTACAGCGCGTCCATTGATGCTCAGCGGAGGGAGATTGGAGCATGTCTCTACATCGGCTGGGGAGCATCCATCCTGCTCATTCTGGGAGGGGGTTTGTTCATCAGCTCTGCGTGCCCCCTCAAAGCCCATGATGCAGACAAAAGCCCCTCCGTCCGCTACCTGGTGGTCCGCTCCTCCAACGGGTCCAGCCAGGCAGCTTCTCATCGCAAGGCTCAGCCTGTCGGAGCCGTCTTCTCCCGGTCTCAAAGCTACGAGGGAGCGTCCACGAAGTCTCAGCCATACACAAGGCCTCCCTGGGAGGACAGACCTGAGCAGGGCAATGGTCTGGAGTCAGAAAGGTCATGGGCACCATCAACAAAGTCTCAGGTGAAGAGACCGGAGTCGACAAAATCTGAACAGAGTGAGGCGTTGTCGACAAAGTCTCAGCTGAAACAAGCAGAAATGGAAGAGGATTCATCAGTCAAGAGTGACAATGAGGATGCATCCTCAAACCCAGCAAGAACATACCTATGATGATGGGCACACACACGCACTTACATTTAACATACCATAGCGAAGTTTAATGTCCTGGGAGTTATTTAGAAGTAGTTGTTTACTTATTTTTGTGACGTAAAGTAGCTGATGAGGTATAATTATCTTCAACTCTGAACTATATTCATCAATATGCAGGAAAAATGTTACAGCTTTAAGATGTAATATGCACTAAAACTGAACTTCAAACCAAATACACAAATCCAGGTGCAAGTGAAGTATGTTACAGTTGTATTTTTTTTTAATTGTTAATTGTGCTGGCAGTTTTTTCCTCACTGTTTAAAATGCCCTGAGCCTGAATCCATTCATATGTATAATGTTACCTCAGGCGTTCCAGGTTGTCTGTGTCTGTTGGACATACTGTTTGCCTGAATGCAACATGAGAAAAAAAAACCTTTTGTGTTGCATCAGCTGCAAAATTGCTATTGTTAACAGGGTTTCTGTAAAGATTCAGATGTTGCTTTTTATCTCAACTGTGAAATGTGATTTGAAGTTTTATTTTATTTGGACAGATATTTACTGACAGATACATTTACTTTTCAATAAATGACTACAATGTGATCAAGGAAGTCACAGCCTGTTTTCAACAAGGGTTATTAAACATGCAAAAATGTCAGAGATGAGCTGAATAGATCCTTTCAGAATCCCTCCTGGACTTTCAGTCCTCCTCCTGGCTATTTAAATCCACAGGACAAACTGGTTTGACAGAGAGTGTGTTTATGGTGGATGTGTGCAGTGTTAGCGGAAGAGGGAGCAATGTGTTCGTAGAGGATCCAAGATGAATTTCAGTGAATCACGTTGTTCAACATGTGTTGTTTTGGTTTTGTTAATTCAAATATGATCATTATCTAGTCATAATCTAATACTGTCGTCACAAATGTTGAAATACATGAGTTTTACTTTTTTTTAAATGGAAAAATACATGATTGAAACCTGTAAAATTCTATTTACTAAATACTGTGACCTACATACAGCAAATTCAAAAGCATAAAGAAAGAAACTACAAAAATAAGTAGGTAAATAAAACACAGTGGAGCGAGATGAAAATGTAAGCTTTTAGAAAACAAACAATCATTTGATGCCACACAACTACATTTCAGCAGTGGCCCTGTTCAGACCTGGTATTAACGTGCGTCTTCAGTGATCCGATTATAAGTGGTCAGCTCCAAGTTCGTCAGTTCACACCTGGCTTGCGTCTCCACATGCGTCTCGATTGACCACCTGACAACAGATCCGTCTGTCGATTGGCTAAAAACAACAATACCTGTTTATTTGCATGTAAAGCGAGAAAATTAGATCTGATCACAAGTGGTCAATCGAGACGCATGTGGAGACGCATTTTAAAGTCAGGTGTGAACTGACGTACAGAGCTGACCACTTGTGATCGGATCACTGGAGACGCACGTTAATATGAACAGGGCCTCTGTGGCTGCAGGTGCCTAATTAAACAATTGATCGGCGGGCCTGCAGTGGGCCCGCGGGCCGCCAGTTGAATGGGCCTGGTGTACTGTATGAAGCTGTACTAAAGCTTCACCACTAGAGGGCAGCGTTTCCCTGCTGTGTGAAAGGTTTCAGCTGCAGTAAAAACCTACAGACTATAATTACTTCATTTTGTTTTCAGATGAAAATGAAGAGTTGTCTTCAGTTCACAGAAAGTCAGATAACTATGAAAGCTTTGCTGTCAAGTTGTCAGTTCAACAAGTTATCATAATAGCATGTGGCCTACATTACCACATCCTCTCCTTCTTGTCTCTTCCTTTTCTTTCTTCCCACGCTCCCTCTTGTCTTTCATCTCTTTCTTAAGCCTCTTTTTTTTTTTACCTCCTTCGATGATTTCTCTTCCTCCTTTTTCCCTCTTTGCCTCGTCTTTGTCAGATTTGGAGGCGAGTTCCTGAAAAGACACAGACAACATGTTTCAGTATTTTCTCCTCCAAAGGCTAAATCTGAAACCAATTTATAATCCAACTAGTGATTATTCAAATTGAAAAATGATCAGGTGATGTGACTTGCCTCCTGCTCAATATTTTTCTAAGTGAGGTGCTGAATGTCCTCCTCCATCCTGCTGGCCTTGGCCTGTGTCTCTGTTTGTTTGTCTTGGAGGGATGGATCATGGGCCAGAGAAGAACCTGTTCAATTTTTGTGTGAATCCAGTTAAAGGGGTGGATCCAGGATTTTTTTTTTAAAAACATCTTTCCTTAACACTGCAAAACAAGGCATTTTTCGATATTTTTGGTGTTGACATCTGTGAGTTTGTACAAAAGATCCAGCTAGTCATCCAGATCTGGTGCTTTAATATTGATTTTTCTATTGTAAGAGCTACACAGACGAGTAGGATTGTTTGGCCTCGAGAAGTTACCTGCTCCGCTGAGGGCCATTCTAGTTTTAAAGCCGTCCTCCTTTTCTTTCTTCTCACATCTGAGTCTGTCCTCCAGAGAGTTAACTTTTGTCTGCCACTCAGTCTCGCTCTGGTGGATCTCAGTCTCCAAAGGTTTTTAATCTGGCCATGCGCTCCAGGGTTTTCTCTACCAGCGCCATGGTTTCAGTCCTGGCATTGGTGATCACCTCATCCTTGTCCTGAGCGACGTGCTCCACCCTCCTCTCACAGCTCCCCTGCAGAGCTGTGAGCTCAGCGACTGCCTTCTTCTCCCTGACAGTCAACAGACCCTCCCACGCTGCATTGAGCTGTGTGAGCTCCATCTCTTTGACCTGGTCACACTTTGCCTTGAACTGGTTTTTCCCTCAGATGTGCATCTGTAGAAACTAGTTTTAATACTGGATGTAGTGATAATTGGCTACATTTGATCTTCACTAAATAGTATGAAAATAAACATCATGTAGTTTGAGTTGCAAATTAAGTGTACACCTGTTACATCCATTACAGGTTTTCAGTCTCAAATGATACTGCAGCAGGTCTTTCCTAAACACATGGGAGTAATATAGACTATAGACTGCACTACAGCAACATGATAAATGCAAATGGCCACAACTCAGTGGTCAAGAGACTGACACATGACATTTTGCACAATTCATCCTTATCCAAATTGCAATGTCTGCACAAGCATCATGCAAACAGATACGTTATTGTATGATCAGTGTAATGAAATGATATAATAACTACAGGTTACAGATCAAAGACAAGACGTTCCTGTGAATATGAATTTGCAACATTTTGTCACTTCAGAGTAAACCTATAATCCCCCAGCGTACGTCATTCCTTAACAATGGACTTGAATTTGGCAGAAAAATCCCATTATAGAAAATGAAAACAAACAGTAAAGTTCCCCACAATGACAGACATCAAGAGAAAGTGTGTGGTGATGTTATTTATGGATTTATAGCACAAATAAATAAGATTAAAAGATGCAAACTAAAGCACTTAAGCAATGCGTTGATGAAAAAAGAACATTTTCACTTGGACATCTGACACAATACTATTTACTCAATGCCAAAGTAAACCTTACTCATTGATAACCCAGTCATGAAGGCAATAATGAACCAATCAATTATCGCTGTTCAGTTCATAATGAAGTCATTCTAATAGTACGATCCAAATAAACAAACAAGCAGATTCTCTGGCTGTACATTTGGCATCCAGCCTCTCCCTTTTTGACAATGTAATGAGTGTAGTTGAGTAAAAGTTCACTCACATGACCCAGTGCATCTACTGCAGGTGAACATATTTATCATGTGCACCACTGTTAGACTAATCCAAGTTAAATGAAAAACAGCCTGTTCAAAAAAAGGTAAACATGAATGGATACCATACTGTATATCTCAGGGGAAAAACAGTGATTGTCTCCAACACTAACCCTGAGAAAAGAAAAAAAAAAAAAGAAAATAAGAAAGCCATCAATTTTCTATTCTGTAAATCAGTCAGGGTATGAACTCAACCCCAAACTTAAAGAAACCCCTAATGCTAAGACACATGAGCACAATGATATCAAGTAAAACCTTAGTAACTCAAATCATAATAGTAAAAAATAAAGTTCAAGGCACATCAACAGTCTAGAGTACAAAATATAAAATCTTGAAATGGCAGAGCTCAAGCTTGTAATTGTATACTACATTTATGTTAACTACCATGATGACGCACTAGAAAACTATAAAAGGCAACTGTGTGTTGTTATCAGTAAAGGCAGTTTATGAACTTCGTAACAGAAACAGCAAGAAAACACTTTTTTTTAAAGACCAGAACAAAGCTCCAACACTGAATCTGACATTTTTCTGGAGTGTCGCCTCTTGACAAGGTCCCTGCACACACCTGCTCCTCAGACCTGGACTTTACTTTGAGTTGCAATGACTACTTTTATAAATTACTTTTATGACCAAGATCACAATGCTAATTTTCACATTACATATCACTGATTAAGAGTGATCTTTAGCGTATATTTAGTACTCATAGCTACATTCAACAACAGCCTGCTAAACATATAATCAGAAATTTGGGCATTCGGGTTTGAGAAACACTTTGCTGGTTTGAAAGAAAATGGCCAAAAACTTCTGTTTACAAAATCAGGATATTTATGCTTTTTGAAAATGTCCTCGGCCTGAGAAGGATAATTTACTTAATTATATCTTATGCAGGAACTTTGCCTAAAGCCGGTTTCTGAAAGAAAAAAAAACACATTAACTTAATCCCTGCCCCAAAATGTTGTTAAGGCATTTATGTATAACTTGTCATTAAGGTTTGATTCTAAGCATCCCCTAAACCACACAAAAAACATCATCAAATAAAACCTCAGTCTACATCCATCCTGAGCACCATATCCTGAATCAGTGTTAGATATATGGCACAAATGAATGTGTTCATTACATATGAAAGAAATATGGAAGGTGCTGTAGTGTGTCAGGTGGTACAAACTAGTGTGGCAGCCTCTGCAGGCAGCCAAACTAGCGGCTGTTAGTTGTTGAGGATAGATTCAAAGTCTTTCCAAAGCACATAATCATGATGTAGGTGTGTGTCTGTTTGTTAGTTTCAGCCTGGTAAAAGTTAACCAAACGTGTCGAGAAAATACTGCATGACAACAGCTGCTGCCCTCCTTCCTCATCTTGCAGGACTAGCATCACACTTCTTCAAAGAAGGCCATCTGAGACATGTACGCAGAGTTTCGCTGCAAAACAAGACAAGTGTGAGCAGTTTGAGAGAGAGAGGCACAGGTGGCTGAAATCAGTGCAAAGAAATGTGCATTCATGGTGTGCTTAGAAAATTCAAAGACAAGAAATATGTATGCAGTTACATAACTATGTACCACTACTGATGATTACAACTGTGCTTCATATGCACCACATCTTTAAACTTTTGTCTTTATTTGCAGGTCTACTGCACAGTCACTGCATCACTTAGCTAGGCTCACTATATACTGTCATTTTAGCCTACTCAGAAATCCCATCATTTGGCAACCATGTGGTGATTGGAAATTGCATGGGGTTTGTTACCCTTTATGTGCTAAAAGTTTTCAACACAAAGCAGTTAACTGTATATTAAAGTAAAGAGGAGCAGGATTTTTGTGCGACAGTTATATAAGAACCGTTATGACAGGATTATTATTATGACAGGATATTCAACACCTTAGCGCTGTCAAAAATGTGCTGATAAAAAAAAGAACTTTTTTTTATTTTTTTATTTCCATTTGAGAGGAATATTTTTAGCACTACAGTTCCCATTATGCTTTGGATAATCCAAATAGGAAGTCCAATGTTGCCAAGCAGTCAGCGATTCAACTGTGGTCTGTGCGTGAACCCATTATATGAAGCGGTAGACGGAGGGAAAACTCTGAAAGCAGTATTGTTGGCTATAAGCTATAAGCTGACAGGTCATCAATTATAAATAAAATTAGTCATAAGAAGATGATCGGGGGATGTGATCATACGTACGTTGCTGTGAGGTATGTAGACAGGCTCCTGAACGTATCCCCTGGCCTCACCGTGGAGGCTGTAGAGGCCGGCCTGTTGCTGCTGCTCCTCAAGCTTCAGAGACTCGATCTCTGACTTAAGCTCCTTCAGCTGATCCTGCAGGTGTTTACTCTTCTCCATGTACTCAAGCCTGTATCAATGCATGGCAAGATATCATATGGATGTAGAGCAAAGCTGTCATTCAAAAATGTTGTTGCAGGGGATTTAAACTCCAGCTCACCTCTCTCTCTCAATCTCCATAGACAGCCTTTTCATGTCTGAGTCCTTGAAGTCTAGGCGCGTAGATGCTGATTCATAGCCTAAGTCGGCTGCTTCAGGAGGAGCGGGTGGAGTAGAGTAAGCTGCTATGAGCTGGAAGACAGTTAAATAAGTAGATACATTCATAAAGGTAAAGCACATAACACTACCACATTACTATTTGTTGACACACAACAGCAATATGAAGTTTAACTTGATGCGCATAAACTGCAAGTAAATGTTCCAATCATTTTTGACAGCTCTTACTCTCAGTGATGACACAAAATGAAAGCAAACTATTCCTGTCTCTATAAATCCACACCAAAATTAAAGACTTAAAAACATTTGTTATTCTCTTGTTCGGTGTAGTTGTAGTTCTCTGGCCAAACATTTCCTGTGGGGAAATGTTTTTCCTTCCTTTTCAAAAACATAAAAGTTAATGTGCTACTACTTGTTTGCTGCAAAGGGTACATACAAGGATAGATACAACATCCAACACGCATCTACGTAAAGCTGGTTTTATCCCAGTCTCGTAAAACCAACCACTTCTCTGGCAGTTAAGGAGATTCTGTGAACTGACAGACCAGATGGTTTGTTACACAGAACCATCTGGGCAGGCTCCGTTGGAAATTGTTTGGAAAAGGGCAGGCGTTTTAAAAAAACTTGGCAGGTGATTGAATGAACCATCTGTCTATCACTGTCAATCAGGGGCTAACTTCAACCAATCACATTCTGCATCCTTCCCATTTGCCCCAGCGGAGCCAGTTGGTAAATCAAACACTTGCAGAAGCCGGTCGGGAGAACGAGCGAAAACATCTTTTCAATCGGGAAAAGCCTTCAGTGCCATTCTTTGCTCTTTTTTCTATTATGAAATAATATCCTGTTCTGAGATGATTGATGCTATGGTGTCATCCACGGTAACACCTTTAGACCTGCCATTGTTGTTAATGAACAGTCACACACACGGCCATAGCTCAGGCCGCCGATTGGTCTGAACTGCTGTGGTTCGGCCATAAATGAAAAGAAGATAAGACATTCTGGGAAAAATATGAAATCAATAACTGCAAGAGAAATAAATGATGCAGTTTGTGGAACAACAACAATAATCCTCTTTAAAAATAATAACTCTTGAAAGGTACTGAACATCACAGTTCAGTGCATTTTAAGTACCCAAGCTCATAAGTGACCTTTAAACACAGCAGGTTATCAGATGGCTTTGTATTTCACAGATATTCAATAATAACTTTCTGAGCAAAAAGAAGCTGCATCCATCCACAAAAAGGCATAACAAAGGCATCACAAAGAGTACACCAGCAGTATCATTGATCACCGTACAGGGTATGTTGTTTTGGTGATCTCCAGCAGCTTCTGTTTGGCTCTCCGCTCAGCGTCCTTTGCCTCCGTCAGGTCCTGTTTCAGGTGATCAGCCTCCTTCAACCTGGAACCACAGGTTTGGTTAAGTCAAGGCTTCTGGAAGACAGTAGTTGTGTTATTAATGTACGATAAGTACTTGGGTTTTGACCTACACCTTGTAGGGCAACTGTGACATGGAGCTACAACAGAGAGAAGAGTCCTATAAATGCTACATTCTGGACACACAGTAACTATGGCAATAGTGAAAGATGCCAAACTAACCTGTGTTTCACTAAGATGTTGAAAATGGAAAGTTAATTGTGAATGAAACACATTCTATATGTCTGTCTGACATTTTTTTCTCTTTGATTCAAAGGGGAACATCTGTAACCTGCTCCTCATCGTTCCATGTGTGTAACAGTGTGAGGCTACATTAGTCGCTACTAGCATAACGCACGTTACTCTCTCACCAACGTTGCATTGTGGGTAATGACGGTGCCAGGTTTTGACAAGGAAGAACAATGCATGGAATAAAAAAGACCAATTTTGATCCTTTTGGACTTGATTGCAAGACTTTCAATGTTACAGGAGAACAGTCATCGCACTTACATGAACTTAAATAACGAGCTTATACAGAGAAACAAGGTTACTTGGGTAATCAGGGAACGTGTTTAAAGGCATTGGAGTAACCTGGTTACTGTAAATCTGCTTATACATGCAGCAGGTCAGTCATCAGATTTCTCCCCTGCCACTGACTGTGGTAGTGACAGCAGACTGTGACTGTCTCTCTCCTGAGGTGCTGACTCTTTTTTTTTTTTTTTGCAGTGTGCGTGTCTGAGCTGAAGCTGCATGGTGCAGTGAGAAGACAGGCACACAGAGCAGAGCTTTCCCTCACAACGTGAATGCGTCTGAATTTGACAAGTCATCAAATTTTCAGCATGGAGACCAATTTATTTAGAGCTCTAGAGGCTACTTTGTGTTCGTTTCAGTTTCAGTCGAACTTATTTTCAATACAAAAACACATGGCTCTTCATCCAGCCATTCCACTGTTACTTTCCCTGTCTGCAGTCTTTTGTCATGCACGTGTGTACCTAGACAAAGCAGATTATAAACCTGGTTATCTGTGTTCTCCTGGTGAAATCACCTGGGGGACTCGGGCTTCTGATTACAAAAACCAGGTTCTCATTTACAAGACATTTAAGAAATCATAGAGAATTCTTTATATCTATATCTGATTTACCCCTGGACATGGCTGATTATGGTTGAACCCCTGCAGTGATCAACTGTATTTCATTTATTCACTGCAGCATAAGTGGATGATGTAATTTAATTGAGGAAAAATCAAGAGAAAAATATTATAAATAATTAGCTGATTCCATACCTCCTCTCAGACTGCTCCACCAGCTTCACAGCCAGCTGCTCTGCCTCCCTCATCTTCTGCTCCATCAGCCTTTTCTCCTCCTTGGTCTTCATGGCGGTGACCTCTAACCTCTGTCTCTCCTGCTCAGCCTCTGCAGCCTTGTGGGCCAGAAGCTTGGCCTCCTCCTCAGCAATCTGGGCCTTCTCTGCCAGAAGGTCCGCTGTCTCCTCAGATCGCAGCTGGAGAAAATGCATTGCATTTTTACAAACTAGTATGAGATAAACGGTGGAACAGTTAAGGGATTAGCATGATGGTGGAATCTGGCTCTATAACGCAGACAACAGAATTTTAGTACCGCAACGTTTTCTTGGGCCAACTTCTAGCATCATTTCTGTCATGAAATCAACGACAGAAATGTAAAGCTTGCTGCCAAAGCATGTTCACACAAAAAGGAAGATGAAGCTCTCACCAGTGCCTCATTGGCCAGTCGCGCCTCGTCCTGCAGCTGGAAAAGTCTCCGTTCCATCTCTTCTTTTGCTCGTTCTGCTTCCTCCCTCATCTGTTTTTCCCGTGCCAGGATTTGGCGCTCCATCTAGACCGAGGCCAAGAAACCCAATTAGAGTAAAAGTTTTGCAGTTTCCAAATGTATGCATAGAGCACATCCCATCTAATCTGTTATTCGCATTGCTCCAGCGGAGTTGAGAGAGCACCGACCTTCTTGCGGGCCTTCTCCTCTTTAGCTTGAGCCTTCATCTGCTGCACTTCGATGGAATCCACCTTCCTCCTCCTCATGAATAGATCATGGTTACCGATACACAACTGCAGGATCTAGACACAAACCAGCAATACCTTACTTCATATAACTTTCATTTAACTTTGTTATAATTGAACATTTACAAGGACAAACAGGTGAACCAACCAGTTTGTTGACACGCAGCTGGGATGAGTAGAACTTGAAAACATCTTTCTTCTTGTCCAGGGGTTTGATTGTGAACTGCAACATGGAAAAGTTAAACATTTCAGTTCCTCTGACCTGGTCATACAATTTGCTCAGCACTGTTTCGACACACAGTGCAGCTCTGAAGGCTTTACAACAGAGAGAAACATAAAATGCAGACTGTAAACTGTCTGTGGAAAGAGACTGAGTCCATTACTAATTTACCTCCTTTTCACTATAAGAGATATTACGGATGTCGCTCCAAGGGAAGGACTTGTTCGGGTTGAGTTTGCTGTTGGGGCTGTAAATGTGAAGACCTTGAGCATCCACTCCCAGTAACAGGTCTGTGTCCCTCTTATTTTGCTGTCAATGTGATGTGAAAAACAAACGTAAACCAACGGGAGAGTCATTTTTTAGGCTGTATTTTTCATGATATCATGCAAAATGTACCTAAAGAACATCAAAACACAGTAATTCACACTCACAGTGATGGCAAAGTAGCTGACACCGTACATCTCAAGGTCCTGAGCAATCTTTAGGTATTCCATCTCAGCCTCATCCCTGTACAGACAATGTAAAATATAAAGAAGAGAAGGCAAATCAACCCATGATACTTGAACTACAGAATCTAGGACTACACCTTTTGTAAGGGTGTTAATTTCTCCGCTGGGTCAGTCCTACCTGGCGATGCCTCTGTGCTCTGCATACCAAGCTGTGATCTTCTCCTCCCACATGTCAGCTGTCATTTGATATTGCATCAGAACCTGGGATGCACACACAGGATCATAATATATACAAATATGCACACAGGCACACAAACATTGTCTAAATGCTGAAATATTAAAGCCCACAAAACAGACATTTCCTACGAGTGGATAACCTGCTAGAACTCACTTTTTGTAAATGGTCGAATGTGTGTAGTACTGGATACTTACTCGTTTTGGCAAAAGCTCATCTTGTGCCAAGAAGCCTGGTTTGTGAAAGTTTGGGTCATAGTCTCCATACTGTGATTGAGATGAGTGACAGAGAGAAGAAAAGGAGAGAAAAAAAGAACGAAATTTGGGTGTTAATGTTGAGCATTAGCAAAACTTAAAAGCATTTGCAGTCTGACTGAACACACAATATTTTTTTTGCACCATCATTTACATCCAGGCAAAAATATTGTGACCACTCAAAGATGAAGCACATAATATAGATTATCTCGTTAAGACGTCTAGGTCTGAGATGTATTAGATGATTGAACTGACAATAGTGTGTTGAGCGATCATAGAATAAGCCTGATCCATGGCTGCTCCACCTCACAACTTACAGGATTTAAAGAATCTGCTGCAAATGTCTTGGTGCTAGATACCAAGGGGAACCTTCAGAGGTCCTGTAGAGTCCGTGGATCAGAGCTGTTTAAGCAGCACACAGACAACCAACGGCATGTTAAACAGGGGTTATCATAATGTTTTGGCTGATCAGTGATCTGCTCTGTGAGTAAGTTTATCCTGTGTCCAATGTTGAGAGCAAAACTCAGTACACAACAGACAGAGAATTATTCCTGTATTTGTTGGTCTCATGAGTGGACTTAAATGGACTTAATGTTTTGAGATACAGGCAGGACAAGCATCCTGCAGGTGCAGTAAAGGACCATTACCCGTACATTAACCTTGCACAGCTCTCTTACCTTTGCTTGGACAGCATATGATGCCAGCAGAACAGATGCTTCAGGGGAGCAGAATATCTCTTCATCTAATATCTGTTTTTTCACCTAAACAAGAGTTTGAAGACATGTATGAAAATGTATTGACCCAAGTCAAAATGTTTCATTCAGCTCTCTAAAACATGGAGATGAATTCTACCACCTATGTGCACAAAATAATACCATCACCAAAATCTCCAAGTGTTTGTACAAATAAGATCAGACTGAAAGTTATTTCACAAGAAATGTTATCGGCTAGGTTACCTGTAAGAAGAAGAGGTGCTGAGTAATTTCTTGGACCAGTTCCTCTTCTACTTTTTCTGGGAAGAATTTAGCCAGGAAATGAAACGTTATGGGAGAGTCCTTGGGAACCTCCTGGTCCAAGACCTTGGTGAAGAAATAAACAACAGAAAAAAGGACGTCAAAAGTGCACAATAATGTGTTCAATAGACTACACAATTTACACAATCAATTGATTATTCAAGTAATTTATCAAGCAAAATTGACAAACATTAGCTCTTTCCAGCCTCTTAGATGTAAGAATTTGCCGTTTTATATCATTGTGAACTGAAAATCTTTCGGTATGGACTGTCTGTCAGACAAAACAAGCAATCTTACAATGCAAGCTTGGACTCTGGGAAATTGTGATGGGCCTCTTCTGCTATGTTCTGACATTGTTTAATTACAAAAATAATCCAGGGATTAACTGACTATGAAAAATAATTGCTAGATGCAGCTCTATAATCCAGATTTACCTCACCTTTCAAATTTTGGGTAACGCATACAAATCATCGGCATTGTGCAAAAATGTTTTCACCACATGGTGTCTGAAATAACTTTCAAGTCATGCATTGTTTTGAATCCTCATTAGCCAGTTTGACCTCCACAAATTCACTCGTCTACTCACCCGTTTCTCTGGTTTCAGCCAGGCGTAAGTGTCCTTTACTGTGTACCTGAGTCCAAAGAACCAGGTCTCCCTCAAACCAACAGTGCGACACACCAGGTCAAACAAGTCTTTACCTTTCCACTTCACCTGAGAAAAGCAGTGGGCGACAAAGAGATCAGTCATATTTTATGTGCAGGAGATTTCAGGCTATTATTTAGTTTGCTGGTCCTTGAATCAGAGATAGTTAATAAATGTGAGCCAATAAATGCTTATACGTGCAAATGCAAACATATATATGGCTATACATTGACCTGGACAAGGAAATGATCATCCATATTCTTCTATAAGACATAGATGAAACATCCTTCCAGGCTCAACGTTTGCCTAAATAAATCCCTACCTCACAGCTGAACTCCATTTCAGCATCCATGGTGATAACTTTGACTTTGAAAGTCTTCGGCTGTTTCTTCTTTAATCCTAGGATGGACATTTTGAGGGTGTTTCTTTCACAGAAACCTGGGGAAAGACAACAGAACTGCTTTCAGGATAAAACATGGCATTTTAAAATGATAAGATGGATAAACCCAGTAACTTAAACGACACATTTGAATGAGATTTACAATTGTAAACATTTGGACAGACTCATGCCACAAGTTCTGGCAGTTAAATGTTATTGGATCTTGGAAATCACCCATCAGGCGACACGAATTTAATGTCTCCAGCGGTTTCACACAGGAAATATCGGTCACTTCTTTGTTAAACACTACGTGTATTTGAAATGTAGATGAGGCTCATTACCAGGGAGTAAATTTAGAAACTTCTGCCGTCCAACAAGGCTCAGGAGAGGCTGGGCTTTTTGTTGGGGGACACCAATGCTAAGCTAACTCCTATTGACTAAACAGCGTTAGCTTCTCAGCTATGCCACGAAAACGGACCAAAACAAGTTGTAGAAAGAGCGGAACTTTTGATTCTCCATGATGAAATTTACCGAACGACCGGGCTTCGTAGCTATTAAAGTTTTTATAGGTATAGAAACTGTTTAGCTAACGGTATCGGCAGCTACGTGTTTTAGCTAGTTAGCTTGCTGTTAAAAAGTCAGAACGACTTTCCAGGAGATTTTTGTTTTGACTCCCACTCTACAGGTGGGAACATGAATAGCAGCTTGGGATACAGCTGCTGCGCATGTGCATGAATTTGGAAGCCAGGAAGTGTTGCGTTTAACACTGTGCAAAGGCGATCTTGGAAGATAGTGTGGTGAACGTGCACGCCGCAAGCAGGGACGGTTTGACTGTTTGTTATGAACAGTACACGAGGGTAGAAAAAGGACAGCAAAGAAGAAGAAGGAAAAAGCATAAATGTGTCATGGACATCCGTGTCCCTGACAGTCTGCACTGAGGAAATAACACACCATGAAACCACATACTCCTACAGCTTCCTGACTACAGTGTCTGCAGCCAGTCTTTAATGTTGTTCCACTTTATTTGTGAGAGACTTGGCGAACCTACTTGATATATAGGATTGTGAAGAAATTGGCAGAGAAAACAACCACCGAGGCTACTGTAGGTAATTCTGTCACCACTATGTATAAATCAGTTTCTTTGAACTCGTGTAAATGTTAAGCAGTTGTAGCAGCAGGCAGTATACTTTTATAAACACAGGACAGGTCTATCTGTAGTCACTGTGTGTGACGTTGCACTTGTTTTATATATGTCTTTGCATCTCTCTGTGGCTGTTTGCATCTCTTTGTGGCTGTTTGATTGACTTTCCAACAAGCAATATTAACAGTAACTTCATAAAGAGGCTCTGGTCTAGGGGCTCCCTGACCCATTATGGCTCTGAGCCTGTGCGCACTAGGTCCGTTCAGTTATCCGTCTCCGTCCATGGCTACACATGACATCACAAAACAAATCACTGTGAGGTCAAATCAAAACTAAAAAGTAAGGTGATCAGGTTGATAGAAGATGAAGAGTCACTGAGCTGTAATCTTTCATTTTCATTCACACAATCTGTAATGAATGTTCTGATATCTGTCATTAATGTTATCACCTTACTCCATTGCCTCCGTTTCTTCTTCTTTGAACAGGCTTGATGATGTCAGCTGCCACTAACACATTTGAAAGTGTGAAAGCAGTTATCTTATCAGCACATAAGAGCACTACATCAAGGGACAAGGTCAACTTCTACAACTCCTGGGCAGAGAATTATGATCAGGTGAGATAACTGAAGCAACACTTTATATCAGCAAACACATTGGAAGTATTTTTGATTTAGATTTTTTAGTTCTGTTTAGTCAATTCGTAGAACAGATACTTTAATAATACGATTAAGTCAACCCTCTCTGGCTGAAAAACAATGCTAAGAGAAAGAATGCTGTCAAAAATATATATTATGATGTAGCTCTGTATCTGTGTGTTTTGATAAAATGAAAAACGACTTCTGTTTTATGATAGTAAGATCGTTTATAAATATATATGTTAATAATTGATAAATATGTTCAGATACATGTTCATGTTTACCCTCGTCTTATGTACTAAAAGCCACAGTTCTTTCTTAAAACTTGTTTGAATAGGATGTCACTGTTTTGGACTACCGTGCACCAAGTCTTGCAGCGAACAGCATCTCCTCCCATTTCAGTGGTTCCCGGGAAGCAGCTGTTGTGTTGGATGTGGCCTGTGGTACAGGACTGGTGGCCAAACAGGTAAACTCTTGACTCTTTGACACTGGAAATATATGATTTAATATTTGAAAAGCCTTTTTTTTTTCTTTTTTTTTTTAATGCCTCTGTGTCTTTTCAGAGTGACAAGAATAAAAATATTATTTATTCATGTAAAGTATGACTTCTGTGTTAACATCTGGCCTGTTCCAGTTTATAAGATGAAGTATTTACAGTGAATGCCTCAAACCTTTTTAAGATTCTCTCTGTGCATTTTTTAACTGTTTGGATCAAAACTGACTTCAGACCTGTCTTTCCTTGGTCCTACGATTTAGAACAGCACTGAATGTATTGCTATCAGTTTTTCAGTTTCCATGTTCAACTGATTTATCCAGTATGAATGATTAACAACCAGTCTCTGTTGTACAGATGAAGAGGCTTGGATTCGGACATTTTGTGGGTGTCGATGGAAGCGAGGCTATGCTGGACTTGGCCAGAGACAGCGGGTTGTACCAGGACCTAAAGCTGTCCATGCTGGGAGAGGAGACACTTCCTGTCCAGTGGGGTAATTCAGTGATTCATTATTTCACATGGGTCATTGGTCATTGTGATTCAGTAGGTCATCATCAGGTGGTTTTATTCAGTGTTTGTGTGTCTTTGTTCTTATTATTTTCTGCCTGCTGCTGTTTCTGATTTAGTACGTTTATGACACAATCACATTTTAATCATCGTTGATGAAAGTTTTGGTTTGTTCTATTGTTAAGTCTGTCTGTGAACAACTTTAGAAACTTAAAAAAACTCTCTATATATTATGGTAATAGAATATTTTGAATTGTTAGTATTATTATAAGTAGCAGTAATTTTAGAAATTAGATTTGGAACTATGATTATCCTCCTTTGAATTGAATTGAAACTTCTCTCCTCCTCCAGCAGATTCGTTTGATGTGGTTGTAATCGTTGGAGCTCTGAGTGCTGGTCAGGTCCCTGTCGCTGTGGTTAGAGAGCTGTGCAAATCCACTAAACCAGGTGAGAATTTTGTTTTTGTTTCGATGCCGTCTCAACTGCGCTTCTGATCTTCGCTTGTGAGTCAGTATCTCCTCACTGTGATCGGGTCATCAGGTGAGTTTTAATCACTCTACAACACCACTGCACTGTTACCTGTATCCACTAGGTGGCTACATTTGCATGACAACCAGAAGCAACCGTGACAACCTGGAATACAAAGGCGCCCTGGAGCGTGAGCTGAAGCAGATGGAGGAAGAGGGGCTTTGGAGTTGTGTAGAGGTCACTGAGGTGGAAGACTGGGAGAGGGCCGTGTCAGAGCAGGAGGACGGCTACATATCTGGTGCTGTGTACCTTTATAAGAAGCTACAACTTTAGCACTGTGCCCGGCAGTGTAGATGTGACTTCACACCAGCCAAGGTACAAAACAAAAAATACAAAATATTCAGAAAACTCACATTACTCCTCACAAAGAAAGTGTCAGGATTTTTTCACATTGTCAGTATTTTATAGACCCAAAGCTGAAGACGTGAAACTGCTTTCACAGATTTAAAATAAATTGAAGACTTGAAATTTTCATGACCAAACAGTATCCATGTTGCATGCATAAGCATGTTGCAGTAAAGTTAGTATCTGGAAAATGTGCTTGGTGTACTGCTCCTGAACCTCTTCAGATTTCTATCCTGCAGATATGCAGTAACGTCGTCCTAATAGAAACTGAGAACTGTGTAATAAATGAACTGTAAATTTAACTTATGTCTGTTTACTGTGTCTGTAGTGCATTAATATCTGCTGCATGCGAATCAAACAAACAGGCTAGTTAATGAGTATGAACAACAATTATGTACTTTGTACCTCAAATTTATTCCAGAGTGTTGAACGTATTTTTGTTGAGAGATCCACAATGAGGGAGACATGAATGTATGTTCCATCAATTTGTTGTTGAAATGTTTTACAAAATGTCGCCACCAATGGACAAATGTACCAATCTTCATGCTAGTCAGTCCACTAGATGTTGTAATATTTCAGTCTGGACCAAAGTGGCTGACAGATCAACATTGGATAATGTATGACACACAGATCATTTCCAAGGGCAGCCTGTAATGTCATTTGCAGGTAGTCTAGTTATGAGACATGATTAGACTTTATTGATGGAAATTTACAGCAGCACAGAAACAGGCTAAGAGGTAAGATAAACATAAATAACTTTGAATAGAATAAATAAAAAATAAGGGATGAAGGAAATTGGAGAGAAGATATTCACAAACCATATACAAACTAATAAATTACAGCTAATTCGGCCATGATGTATGAACTAATATATATACATATATGTGTGTGTGTATTATACAAGTATAGGTTTAGAGGTGTAAGAATAAAAATACACATATATTATATATGTTGTACTATATAACATTTATTGACAGTAACACACATCATATAGTGATAATACGATGAACATTAGTGGAGTGTAGAGTCTGAAGCTGTGGAGGCTGGAAGGGATAAAGGAGAGGTATACCTAAACAGTTTAGAGTTGCGAAACCTGTTGTATGGTCATGAGATTAAAATCTTACAACTCTGCCAACAAAAGGTCCCCAAGCTCATCTGAAGAGCTGGTATCGACTCTCTCCTTTATTGGCTGCTCCTGCTCTGTGAGTATAGCCTCACCTTCAACTGATGAGAAATTTTAAGTATATAATATTTCAATCACAGGCCCTGAAGGTAATTAGAGGTCTCAACAGGCAGAAACCAAATTATTTCATTAGAATACTTGAGACAAATGTAAGAAGTTGTTATTTTCCCTTGGGAAATTGCCTCTGCTGCTTTTTGATTTGTTAACTTGCTGGATCAATTATTTCTGCTTTGCTTTTATCTTTATTATGCTTTGTTTACATGAATGGTTTTATGTATTACTGTTTTTTTCCCCCTTTTGTTTGGTTGGTATTATAATTTTGTTTGACATTTTTGTTGTATTTTATCCTGAACTGTTGTTATTCTGAACTACTTAATTTAGTCCTGTTGATTTTATCCAGAGTATCTTAATTTACTTTAACTTGCCAAATATTTATCCTGTTGTCCCCCCCCCGTTTCTTTTTGGTAACTGACATCTTTTCAGAACGACTAATAACTTAAAGGTGTTGTTTGCAACCCGGTGCATTTTTTGGCTTTGGACAGAGCCGTGCTCGCTGTATCCCTCAGCATCCAGGCATGCTAATTCTAGATATGACCCGAGGGTTTGGGAGACTCTCCTCCTCCAGAGCTCCCCCCCTCATCTGTTTGGAATCCGGTCTTACTTGTCTGTTTTGGAAACTAGCAGACTAAAAGGTTCTCAATATTACCTGCATTCTTACCTGTAAACATATAAACATACTGTTTGAAGTGTACTGGACATGCACAAACCTGAATTTCTCAAAAATCAATGCATTAAATGCATTGATTTTTGAGCTTTCATGGACTTTCACAGCTAGGACAATATGGCAGCAGGAGGTGAACGATCATGAAATGTGATATGGGAAATGAGGTCAAAGAAATCTGATTGGCAGAGAAGACATAATTATTCATGACACAGTCCTTATTTAAGGAAAACCAAAAGCCCACGGACCCTTCTTCCATGTTAGACTGGATAACCTATGACTCTCTGGACAGCTGTCCCCAAAGGAGTTTAATGTCTGTACTTAGAGCAGAATTTTAGGAGATTTTTGTCACTTATTTATTATTTTACACAACTGTTTTTTTTCACCATTTTGAGCAATCACAGTAGAAAGGAAAGCGTCTGAAGTCGTAAGTCCTCTTTTTACTATGCTTAACAAACCAACATTAGTGTGTATGCACGGTGTATTGGTAGTTGAACGAGAAAATGAATTGATTCTTATTGTGCCTGAGACATGGTGATTTTTGTATCGCTGAATGAGTGAACTGACTTGATAAATAGATGTAATTTGATAAGGAGTAACGTAAATACTGAAAACAGCTTGCTTTGATTCTGATCCAACATTTGAGAGATAAGAGTTCAGTTTACAATATTAAATGCATTTTACCAGATAGAGAGAACTTATTTAAATAGCTCCCTAGTGGAAAACTAAGGAGGAAAGGAAATTAGCTGCAAAACCGGTCCAACTGAAGCTTATTTTTGGAAGCAGAGTATATTGGGTTGAACATATTTCTTAGGTTGTACAGTAGAGTAAATGACCATTTATTTTGTTTATTCATTTTCTAAAAGAAAATACAAGGTATTTGGTCCACTGCAGTTTTTAATCACTAGTGTAGGTGATGGTAATTTATTGTAGGCTACTTGTAAATATAATAGGAGGTGTGTGTAGGGCGTATTCACGTATTCACAACTGACAAAGCATACTTCAGCACGAACATCACCTGGAACATAGATCCTCCTCCATGCTACCTTCAGCAAGAGATTGTCACGTTTGAGGGGTAAGGCTGGACACAAAATGCAGCCAACACATTGGGGTGAGTGCAAAAATGTTTATTAACAAAAGAACTTACAAAACTGGTGAAACACGGGGATCACAGGAACCAGAAGCACGAGGAAGACGAGGTCTAAACTGGTAACTCGAGACAAAGACAGCAGCAGCAGCAGCAGCAGACACCGAGGACATTTACAAGAGATAAAAACAGACGAACCGACCCAGACAAAGGGGAGCACAGAGACTACACAGACACAGACGCAAGGGTGATTGAACACAGGTGAAACATTAGGGCGGGGCAGACAATCACCAAGGAGGGAAGTACAGGAAGTACAAACATCGAGACACACAAGGAAACCAACTACAGAATAAAACAGGAGGTGACAAAATTCAAACATAAAATGTCTGCCATGGCAAACCGTGACAGAGATGTCTCTCACAGTACTGGTACACCTTGTATTGCTTCCCATCAGGCCGCCCACTCTTCGTCTTTGTCCCACCTTGAATCCCTTGGACTCCTCCACTTCCTCCTGATCTTTTTGCACCTAGGAGTTTTGCCAGGTACTTTAGGTGGGTTTGGGTGAACTTCACCTTCTCTTTTCCTTGTTATCTTCTGTCCTTCGACTGGCACGATGCCCGGCACAAGGTCTCAATGTACTCCCTCAGGCGGTCATGGATTGTTTTGAGTCTTGAGGTTTCCTCTGCTCCGTTACAAAGTGGTCAGCTGCCATGTTTTAGATTATTGTGGACATCGCTTTGATATTACTGCCTACATCCAGCCTACTCCTTAAACATGATTCCCTCTGTGTTGCGCACTCCTGGAATGTGAGCACCTCAACTTGAGACAGGTTTTCGTAGGCTGCACACTCCAGGTTTAATGGAAGCCATCTAGGCTCATAAATCAAGTCTGTCTTCTAGTGTCCTTGAGAGTGTCTTGTGATTAGACGATGTTAGACCTCAAGGATACACACAATATTTTTAAGTGAGTAAAACTAAATGTAAAAATAACCTGTTTGTTTACAAGAAAACTGCAGAATTAAAGGGGTGTATTCAGTTTATTCAGGATTGAATATATGGATGGGGTGTGGCATGAAAAATCCAATTCCCTCTTCCCTTCATCCCAAATGTATTTGTCTTCGATAGATTTAGATTTTTCTCTTGACTTACAGGGGTGGTTTTGAAGAAACAGCTCAAAGGTCTTTAACGTCATTTGTATTCCTCAGGAGACAAAGGAATGCTAACTGTGAGCAGCCAGCATACTTATGCTTCATCGGATATTCAGCTGATTTTTGTTCCCTTATCTCAGCAGAAGGAGGGAGCGATGGCATTGACGCAAAGAACATTTGAAACTGTAAAAGGAGTGGTTGCATCTGTTCGCGGTACGGCTACAGTTGGCGAAAAAATGGCTTTCTATGACACCTGGGCAGGGAACTATGATCAGGTGACTCCTAGAATTCCTCTATACATCCTGTGAACCATGGCCATTTTATGTTGTGTGCATCGTGAGAGACTGTTTTATGAACCACTGTGCTCTGTGGTTGAATAGGACGTGGCGGTTCTGGACTACCACGCAGCAAGTCAAGCAGCAAGCGTCATCTCCTCCCATTTCAGTGGTGACCGTGAAGCAGCTGTTGTACTGGACGTGGCTTGTGGCACAGGACTGGTGGCAAAGCAGGTTAGGTGACAGAAAAGACACAACACATTTTGGTTTGTCAAGTACTGATGAAATAGATGGAATAAACAGCATAGAAAATAATAAAGAAATCATGCTCTGTTGGGCCATTTTGTCTAATGATGACATCTTTGTTGAATGTGTCTACAACTCCTTTATTCAGTCTGGTTAGGTCTGGTCCAAACAAACTTCTTCGATTTTCTGAATGTCTTATGTGAAACCATTGGGATTTAACTTTTCTCACATCAGTATCCAAGCTTCATCAGTTTGACCTCAGTGACCTGTATTTAATCAAATGTGTGTGTTTTACAGATGAAACTCGATGGTTTTAGACATTTTGTGGGCATTGATGGAAGCAAGGCTATGCTGGACGTGGCCCAAGAGAAAGAGTTGTACCAAGACCTCAAACAATGCATTTTGGGAGAACAACTGCTACCTGCCAAAACAGGTTGTGTAATAATATCAAAAACGTAGAGTGCATGTTTTACTGCTTTAAATATTCCCGACAAATGAAATCACCATGCATAGTGTAAATTAGCTAAGAGTTTCCACCCAACCGCAGCTCTACTGAGCTTTCAAACTTCTTTAAAACTGGCAAATTTACTGTTTGGTCTCGGTTCTTACATCAGTCCCATTTTTGGCAGCAGCAGACAGCTGTTTTCAGCAAACAAGCTCTGATAAACAAAATGTATGATTCCTCTCCAGTACCTGCCTCTCAGATAAAGTTGGTATAATCAATGATGGTCAGATTTCTAGCAGTTATTTTTGGAGCAAACCGAAACAAACCTAAAAACAAAATTAACATGACCAAAACCATGACTCATATGAATGATCATGTTGCTATGTGTCAGCAGGGATGAGTACATTGGTGCTTCTTCGCTATTATCTATAACAACATATTAAGGCAATAATATGTCAAGGCTGTGGATTTGGCAGCTTGCTCCTCATCACCATAAAAAGATGACCAAAAAACACATAAATAAATAAAATGCAGCTGTAACAAAAAGAAGGTGGTGGTAGATTTGAAAAGAGATACGTTTGTGTTGTTAAATTATTGTGTTCACCCACTCTTCACCACCTCTTCGCTTCCTTCTGCAGGATCATTTGATTTGGTTGTGATCTGTGGGGCACTGAGTGTGGATCACGTTCCTTTACGTGTAGTCAGAGAGTTGTGCAGCGCCTGTAAACCAGGTAAAATATTGCAGTGGGGGCTTCAATTCACATTGCATGAAAAACCATGATGAATGTTTTATCACATGCCAAAGTGGGCAAGCTGTATTTTTTTATTTTATGTAGGTGTTATCGAACCAGTATGACACTGCTGTTAACTCAGCATCACTGCTACACTGTCACCTGTTCCCACTAGGTGGCTACGTTTGTATGACGTGCAGACATGGCCATGACAATCTGCCATACAAAGCTGCCCTGGAGCGTGAGCTGAAGCAAATGGAGGAAGAGGGGCTCTGGAGCTGTGTAGCTGTCACTGAGGTGGAAAACTGGGCAAGAGAAGTGTCGGGGGCGGAGGGCAGCTACATATCTGGTTCTGTTTACCTCTACAAGAAACTGTAGCACCACACAGATGTGACATCATGTGCTACAATAAAACACGCAAGGTGACTTTTTTTGACATTGTTGTTGATAATGTTGAGCCTGTCACATTGTGACAATTGTGCTTCCCCTTCTGTGAAGTCCAAGAGGAAAATAACATAATGCGGTGTGTGATACAGCATTTAAAAAACCCAATTTACTGTTTGTATGTGAAAATGTGTGAAATACAATTATCACATAAAATGACTTTTGCTGTATGCTGTAATTTCATTTTACCCATGTGAGTTATTAAAAGTATGGCATCCTGTAATGATCTGAGATCTGATGATCTGTTTGTGCTCTTGTGAATCGTTGTTATAGACAATAAATCTGTTGCTTCAAGTCTTCAGCATTTCTCTGTTACATAAAACTGAAAAAGCAACCAACAAGTTTTTTTTTTTTTAAACATCTTTAGGTATAATTTATTAAACGTTTAACACTCAGAAACTCATCTAATCTGTTTCACCGGGACTGTGTGGGTCTGGGGTAATCAGATTTCATTGACAGTGACAGTATCAAATCCAACAACTGTCATCAAATCCTGATTCAAACCTTCAAGCGGACGGTTCTAGGGATCAGGAATCAGGGGCTCAGGAAACAAGGTTCAGCACATCAGTATGGGGACTGCATCCTCGTGAGACCAACCTGAACAGCCTCTCTCAAAACGCCCTCTCCTGCCGTCTTCTTCAAAGGCTACAATAGACCCTGTGCAGTGAGAGGCTGGTTTGTATTGTACCTTGTTTCCCTCCCTCGTTGGTTATGTGCATAACCTCTTGTTCCTTTTTGCTGGGTACACTCGGTACGACACATAAGAATGGGGACTTAGCAACCTGCTCTGAAGTGCCCCTGCAGATAGACTGAAAAAAAAAAACAGATCCAGCTTTGGCACAGCAGTAACAGTGATGTCAAGGCACCACAAGAGGATGAGCGACAAGAGATATTTCTTCAATTCCCACATGGTAGGCAGAAACAGCTGACAGGTAAACTTTTATGGTGGAAAAAGAAAGACCTTTATCCAGTAATTCCTTAAGAAATGTCAAAATATCCGACACAGAGCTTTGGAACGGAAAAATGGTCCTTTTCTCATCCCAAGTATCAAATATACACCAGAGAAGCACATACAACCCCTGTGGGGGTTTCGCTCTGGCACTGTGTATAGTGTCAATAACATTGGCAGGGAAACCTGTGACCATCAGTTTCTTCCTTTCGGGGGTCAAGCCCACGGATCCCAGATTTTTGGATGTGAGTGCCAGATTTGCCCATGAGCCTGATACACAGGGAGGCACCAGGGTCTCCCGTTGACACCACTCTCCACGAGTCGAGCCTTCTTTGGCCACAAGGAGAGATCAGAATCATGGTTCTCCCTAAACGAACATGCTCCAGTGCGGCCTGGATCAATGCAACTGGAGGAAACGAGCACGAGTCCACAGCCACTGATGGGCCACAGTGTGAGGTTCTGTAATACCAGCACCACTTTTCCACTGTTGACCATCAAAACATAAATAAAACAGCCATTTAGGTAATCAATCATGCTAATCAAGTCCATGTAAAACCCAACAATTAAATACACAAAAACAAATGCAATACAGCCATATGCTGTCGTAGAAGGATCATTTTAGATTCAAATAGCTTCTTTGACCAGTGTCGACACATCTAACCCGACAGGCACACTCTCATCCAATAGTCAGAAGATTATAGGACTGTATGCATTTTCCTTTGAGGTGAACAGAACAACGGGGGCCCTGCCAAATGTTCCCATATCTGTTCCAGTTTATCCGGGTGCAGTCTCCACTTTCTCGACATGGCACTTTGAGGCACTTGGCTGCACAAATCGATTAAAGCCGGGATGGTACTGTCTGTTTCAGTTGGAAGATATCCAACACAGTAGATGAAATAAAAAGTAACACTTAAAGAGATGCTCCTTTTTTAATGTTTGTTTATTGCAGGGGTGTATTTATTTCATTTCACTTCAAAAAGCCATAGCCATAGTCTTTATAATTACACTACCTGCTTATCAGTTTCAGCTCAATGTGTCACGGTTTGTACGAGACAACAGGAAGAAGGACCCATATGCAGACTTGTTAGCAAACTGTTGCTTTTTTAAACTTGGCCTTGGCTGATGCGCTGTGCGTACACATACCATTGCTGCCGCTACAGGTTGCCGCCTGCCTTGGTCATACTTGGCCCTGCCCCATGCACTGTGCGTATGCACAGACTGCCGCGACAGGCCGCTGACTGTCTTGGCTGTACTTGGCCTTGGCCCCACAGAGAGCGTATGCACAGTGCATGGGTCAGGACCAAAGCCAAGTGGCTGCTTCCGCTTCCACTGGCCTCTGCAACTGGCAGAAGCCACAGTGCCAGTGTGCATGGGCGGAAGCCAAGTATGGCAAAGGAAGGCAGGGGCCTGCAGCTGCAGTGGCCGCGGCAGCAACGGTGTGTATAAGTGCATGGGGCAGGGCCAAGCAGCCGCTCTGTAGTATGGCCAGTGTACATAGAGTTTTAATAATAAATGTCTCATATGATTTCATTGTTTTCTGTTTATTTGTCTGTGTCAAATTTTAAGCAGCGGTGGAACATAATTAAGTGCGTATGAACAGTACATGCGGCAAGGCCAAGTATGGTCAAGGCAGCGGCCCGGTGCGAGCCCACCCACCCCAACCACCTCCTGCCAACTGGCTGCTGTTAATAAATGTAGTGCTTCATTCATCCAAAAAAAAAGGTTGCCTCGCAACATAATGCAGCCAGTGATTACACTGTCATCAATGTAACAGGGATATAACAGTTTAGTATCTAACCAGATAGTGCAAAGATTAGCAAAGGTGAATGATAAATATGTAGATAAAACAAATGCACAGTACAGAATGAACCAGAATGACCAGAATGGGTGCCCTGCAATAAAAAAGAAACTTTTCCTGTTCTGTAATTGCTTAAGGGCTTTTTACTGCATAAACTGTCTCAGTGGCAATGATGGATCCGCTCGGATGAGATTATGATTACACACAAAAAAGGATTTTCTAAGAACTAAAGAAGAGCGAGGGAGATAAGTGGACGGGGGAGAGGGTTTCCCTTACAGGGACTCATCACAGCTTGATGTCCAGCAGCCACAGGAATATCAGATTTGGGAGAATGAGTATCATTCAGAGAGTTCATTTTGCCTGAAGATGGGTTTGCTACCTCTTTAACTCTGGAAACCCTGCAACTGTTTCTCCCGTCTGTTTTAGATGTGAGCTGTCCCATGGCATTTGGCACACAGATTAGAGTAATAGGGGAGATGGGGCAGGGGTACGTTTAGAGACTGTGAATTGCATTCTAGAAGAGAAGAAGGGCTCCAAAGATATAAAGGAGTGAAATCACGTCCTACACGGAGAGAAAGAGAGAATAGGTCTTTGACAGGGTTTTGCTGTGAAGGCATTTAAAAGAGTGAAATAATTGGATGCTGGAGGCCTCGTCTCAGCAAAAGCAAGAATGCAAACTCCATTCTTTCCATGAGTGTGAGGCATGTGGAGGAGGTAAAGTCGAGTGACAGGGGTTGTCATCCAGTAAAATCACAACCAAGGGGTTTTAATAGCTTTTCTTTCACACTACACCATACATTCAATGTAAACAAAATAAGGGCATTTTTTTCGGCAGAATTGTATCTTGGGAAGAGGCCAAGTTATACACAGGTATCAGGGGATCTACACACTGTATTGCTTTTTCAGAGATATTGATCCTTTCATGGCTATTCTGCTCCACTGCAGATGAAAGCGGGCTGCTTCCCTGCCCGGTATCACACTGGTGAACTTGGCAAGGAATGAATGAATGCCTGAGGAAGAATTGAAGGCAGTGCTGAATGCAATCCTATGACCTACTCTTGCAGTAACTGGGCTATGGTTTAAAGAACAATAGAACAAGGACTGGACAGGCTTATCCTCATTCATGCTCATTCAATTCATGGTAATTGACTGGAGCTGAGTTAAGGTTATTTAACCAATATTTCATTCAAAATGTGTCAGAGTTAATTGATGAAGACAATCCTCCACCATGATGGCATTTGAACAGTTTTTACTTCTGGTACCTTCCACTTTGTTTGCTTGATCTTTATTGGTAAGCTAAGCTATTCGGTTCCCAGCTCCAGCTCCATTCATACAGCTGATCTTCTCATCTAAGTCTTAGCAATAAAGTGAAAATACATATTTCCAAAATGTTAAACTATTCATTTAAATCTCCCTTCCTACCATTAATGTGTGATATAATCTCTACATCATCCAGAGAATGTACCACAAGAGGAATTTCTCATTATGGAAATTCTTTCTATGACGCTTGTTTGTAGCATTTTAACTGGCACACACATGATGGCCTGTGCTCTGCAGGTGTATAGGTAGTGCTTTTGATTCAGAGGAGTTGCTGTTCTTAGCCATTTGGGATCCAGTGTTGAGAGTGTTCTGTCTGTTCACATTTAGCCTTCAAATTCATTCAGTCTATCAAATTGAGTTCTGAATTTTAACTGCCAAACTAGATCAAGATGATAACTGTCCCCCTCAACCATTCTGTAAAACTTAAAAAGTAAATCCAAACTGAATATTATATGACCTTCAATGTTTAATATGGGAAATTAAAAGCCACTGTCCATGAGGGATGGGGAAGAGAAGCTGTCTTCATTTGAACATTCAGACTCCATGTGGGCAGATTTCCAATTATAGCAGTGTTGGTGTGTACATTACCACAGAGGCTGCGCTGTATACCATGCTCTGTAAATGAGATTTTAAACATCAATATAGCAGCAAACAACTATTTTCTATGTAAAGATAAAGTGAAGTAATGGCGTCCTGGTGTCACACCCCCTCTGTATGTGTTGTAGTCTTGAGCTGCTCTGTTTTTTGTCTGGCTGCACGTGCTTCTAAGTGCATGTAATTGTGCATGTTAGTGCATGGGAGTCCCTGCTGTTAAACCTTTGGCCCATCCCACATTTATTCACACACAGGGACCGCCCACAGGTGAGATGGCACAGTGAAGTAGCAGTACAGGTGAAGTGACCTCTCAGAATTTCCTCCACTGAAGAAAACAGCATGTTTTTTGTTTTTTTGTTTAAAAAAAGCCTCCGCAAAGAAGCAGATGAGGTGGACTGGGCATGGGGAGTAGTGGCCCAAATCCCAGTCAGTGGACCATCA